TGTGTGTGTGTGTGTGTGTGTGTGTGGTGTGGTGGTTGTGTGTGTGTTGTGTGTGTGTGCGTGGTGTGGTGACAGGGGACATCTTCTGTCTGGAGCATCAGGTCAATCTTCTGCTGTCCATAATCAGGTGGTTTGTCTTGGTCAGGCATCTCAGCTGAGACCTGTCCACTATGGGTGACCCTACCGGTATCTGTGAAGTACCAGTGGCGTAGCTCTCAGCATCACTGATGCACACAAGCCCTCACAGCACGTCAAGCTGCAAACCATGTGAGGGACCCTAACCTACCCTAACCCAACAGCCAACACTAACAACCCTAACAACAACCACTAATGTGCCAAAAACCACTCAGAGAAGACCAGCAACACGCAAGAAACCGCCTAGAAAACCTCACTAACCGCATGTCAACATCCAAAAGAACCCAAGAGCCGAATATGAGCAGCACGGACAATCACCAAAACATCCAGCAATGTGATAAACTTGAATGAAAAGTTCAATTTGATTAATTGAAAACTTATTCTATAACTATATACAATATATACAGTATGTACATACGTGCCCATGATCCTTCATCTGGCACTAGGATGGCTCAGTGCCTGGGCCTCTTCCTCCGGGGCTCCTTGGGCAGCGGCTCCTTGCTGATGTCCACCTTGATCTGAGGGGGGACGCTGGACTCGGACCTGATCTCCGTGATGAGCACACGTCCATCAGGCTGCTCGGTCTCCAGCAGCGCAGGCCGGCCCAGCTTCTCCCACAGCCGCTGCTTTACCTCCAATCCTTTCTGAAGGGTGTATCGGCCAGCAGGCTTCTTCACTGTGGAGTCCATCACACTGCGGTAGATGCCCTGGTATTCCTGCACACTCCGGCCGTGGATGGACAGCGGCTCTTCCTGCAGACACTCACCCACTGGGGGGACTGGGGCTGCGGGACGAAGGGCAGGAAGGACAGCCGCGTTCTTCAGGTGTCGCTCCAGCAAGAAGTCCCTGAGGTGTCCGGGGAGAGTCCTGGTCCTCTGTGAGCGTCGCAGCGTCATCATCAACAACTCCAAAACAACTTTCCAAACTGATGTAACTCAGCCAAGGGGAGATTTGCTCAGAGTTGTGCAGCGGGATGATCAGAATCGATCACTCTATAGACAGTAGCGTGGATTTGTAAACCAACTCGTGTTGCCGTGGTGACAGAATGACGAGGGTCATTTAAATGTACACAATTTCACCCTTAAGTCAATTAGAGCAGCAGGAGCTGTATGTACACAACAGTTTTTTGTCAAATGTTATTAAACACAGAACAGCTCTTAATAAATATTAGGTATAATAATAGAGGGCCCATATACCCAGATAAATAAATAATGTCCCCGTTTTTCTTTATTATTTTCATCTTTGAACTTGAACATCGCGTCATACGTTTCCACGTCAGAACTCTGGTCACGTGTTTTAATTTATTGCAGTATAAAAAAAAAATACAACGAGGCACAGTTCGACCATTTTCATCTACATTTACAGAACAGAGCACAAATACTAATCAAACCAATAATATAAAAATAAATAAAAACATAGAATAGACAAACACAGACAAGGAATGACTCTACAGGCTCTTCTATCCATTTAATTTGTTTCAATAAACTAAACAGTCTTCTTCCTTATGTTGATTTTAAAACAATTATAAAGATTTACTTTGGTTTTGTTTTAAGACATTTTGCAGTTATCAATAAAATTTCACCTAAATGATGCATTACTAATTGAATATTACCATCTTCTGATAAAACAAGGAAAATAACATTTATAGAAAATAGAGGGGCGGTGACAGCTGTACAAGCTTTCTGCAGATATCGTAATGTCAAATTTAGGACTTTTTAAGACCATTACATATTAAATTTAAGACTTGAATCACAAGATCAAAAACAAGCAAACACAAAGAGAAAACACAAACATCACAAAATTAGTGTCAAAATAAATTGAACAGTACTGAAGACAGGTTAGATGCATCATTGAACTACAGGAAACAAACAAACAAACAAACATCTTTAGGGTTGCCTTTGAAAAAATGAAACATTGTACGGACATCGCTACAATATATGTAAATATATTATATACATATATATACAATATATGTAAATGTTGTGACACTCATTCCCTGTTCACATGGGGTGTCTGCATTAATACTAGACAGAATTTGATAATGGCGTTTCTTCCAGTGTCTTTTTCAAATCTTTCATCATCCACACTAAAACAACATGTACTGTGCATACGCACAGACGTAAGAAGCTTTTACCTGCATCATGAGTTTATTTACTTTCCGTCTCTTTGAAACGCCATGGCAAATTGTCACAACTGTTGTATTGCAGACTGAAAAGCAAGCTAGTGCTACAAGATTGTCATGTTGCAAAGTTTAAGCTTGGTGAACTCTGACCTGTGAAAATGCATCATGTGATTGCATGAGACCAATAGAAGGTCAAAACATGACCTCTCCGTACAGAAATTCAAAATATGGACTAATTGCTTGCCTTAATGTCTAATCATCTTGTTTAATCCCGCCACCTTTTCACAGCACCGTACAACAGAATTTCACATGCTCAAACTCTAGTGTGACTGCGGTCACAGAATTAAAATGCTGCATTGTTTTCGAAAGCCTCTAGAATGCAACACTCGGTAAAGTTTTATAAACTAGTTTCGACAGAAGCACATGATGATTGATCACAGCTGCTCTCTCATCCGTAATTAGCAATAATCCAATCAGATATATCCAAGCTTACAATAAATTGAGCGATTTCACCCTCCTGGCTCATCTTCGTTTTGGGAGAATCTCCCTTTTCACCCCTAACTCAGACCCCCTTACATGTTAATTGACCAGGCAGTCCTGGGTTCAAATATCTCAGAGTTCAGGGTTCTCTCCTGGGACAGCATGACAGCAATTTCTAAATGTGAACTCTAGCAAACAGCGTTTTCAACTATCCATTTTAGACTGCATCTACACAAAGATATGTTTAAAATACTAAAAATACTGACTCAGTGTGGAGGGAAGGACAAAAAAACTGCCAGTGCTCGATGCCACTCCATTCAAAGTCAATGGGAACTGTTGAATGCAGACACAGAGTAAAGTAAAAAGAAATATAGAAATTTTGAAGCAACATCACGGCGACGAGATCATCGTGTAAATTCCAGCGTGGAGATTGGCCGTCTGTACTGGCCAGTACAAAGTGACATCATTGAGTTTTCAGCACAGCTGTTCATTAATTCATGAGAAAGACTTGGTTCAAACCAATCAATCAGCACGCTATATTGTGAACGAGATGCAACTTCATTAATATGCACCATAAAGCTTTGAAGACTCTTTTGTTCGGAGATATGCCGTCGTCAGTTTTGCGTTTATAAATCTGGTGTTTTACCCGAATAAAACATTTTGAATCTGGAAATGGTGAAATCCGGATTTGCCCCTCATCTTTTTTTTTTTTTTTTAAAAAAGAGGCAGTTCCAGTTCGTGTTGATTGTCCAGTCTCTACACTCTCAGAAATAAAGGTATGTGATCTGTCACTGGGGTAGTACCTTTTCAAAATTTGCACTTGAAGGGTCCATATTTGTACCTCAAAAGTATATACGTAATTGGTACCTACAAATTTTAGGGGAACACTTTTGTACTTTTTAGGTACTAATATGTACCCTTGGGGTATTAATATGGACCTTTTAGTTACAAATCTGTACCTTTCCAAAAGGTATCACCCCAGTGACAGCTCACATACCGTTATTTCTGAGAGTGTACAGATTTGGTATGTGATCTATGTTCTTTTGTTTATGTTTATTCAGATGGCAAAGTTAGTCTTGTCAGCAGTTCTCTTTCAGTTTTTAAAGACATTCCTTAGTCAAAATGATTTAGTTACTAAGTTTACAGTATATTAATATCACTACAATATTATGGACTAAAAAAATCCTCCACTTCCACACAGCTCTTAGATCCGCTGCAAACACTGTTGCCAACTAATTTCAACGAAAAGGCGCTTAGCTTTGGCCGAAAACTCGCTAGATTACGTCATACGTTAATTTGCACATTACTGACGTCATCACGTTTTACCATTTCTGTTTGTTTAACAGCCTATGGCAGGGGTCACTAAACTTGTTCCTGGAGGGCCGGTGTCCTGCAGATTTTTAGCTCCAACCCTAATCAAACACACCTGAACAAGCTAATCAAGGTCTTACTAGGTGTACTTGAAACACCAAGGCAGGTTTGTTGAGGCAAGTTGGAGCTAAACCCTGCAGGGACACTGGCCCTCCAGGACCGAGATTGGTGACCCCTGGCCTATGGTATTTATATTTGCATTACACTTTGTCGCAAGCATGTCAATTTAACTAAATGTATTGCTGTTTGAATAGTACAGTATATCATTTTAGAGGGGCCGGCGGCATCACCCACAGCTCGTTGAGAAGAGTAGAGACGGTACAGTATGGACAAATGACAGTCTATAAAAATCTCCAGTAACACACAAAAGAAGTCGCTGGATTTGTCGCAAGTCGCTTTTTTGAAAATTTGTCACTAGGGGGTTCTGAAAAGTCGCTAAATCTAGCGACAAAGTGGCCAAGTTGGCAACACTGGCTGTAAATGCTGCTCTTCGAATCACTGTCTGTCTCCCCTGCGTCTGTGTTTGTGTTACTAGTGTGAAAATGAGCTGTAGTGCACGTACGGAAACTCCCCTTTTCATGCAAACCCTTCCCTCTTTTACCACTCCCACATAAACAAAGCTGGACTCAATTTCTAATTACCTTTTTCAAACTAGAGGTGTGAAAACACCCTGCTGAGACAGCATGGGGTTCATGGCCCTTTAAATAGGGGGTAAACTACTATCCCATGAATTCATTGCGAATGAAAAAAAAAAATCTATTGATTTTGCTTGATGCGCTCTCTGATTGGTGGAATTGTCTGCAAAGCAATATGGACTATGTAGTTATCCTGCACAAATGACCCCATTGAACATTATGGTTTGTTGACGAAATGTAAAGCAAACACACAAGACTTCATCGCTACAGTGTTTATTTTCCCTCAGTTATTTGTAGCTGAATTGCTTCCAATAAACAGAATAGTTCTCTGAAATCTTTTACAAAATATAACCAATATTTACAATAGCTGTATTAAAAATACAAAAGTAGTTACAGACTCTGCCGGTTGTCTTTGTAAAAGACATAGAAATACACGTGATTCTTTTCGATTGGGTTGGATAGAAACACAGGGAGCTAACAATGTGTAACACTAGAAGTAATGATAACTATCACAAAGTTAATATGTACTGTCATTACTATATACTGACCGTATCATGAGCGCCTATCATCTATGTAACAACTATCATTTATATGTTGTGGACTACAATCTCCTGCTTGTGAACATGTGCAATAATTCATGATCTTGATTACTGACAGATAAAATTAAATAAAAATACAAAAACATAAAATCTTTTTCCGACAGAAATGCGGGCACGTTTGGAAAGTTTTCAGGAACATGTCGGATGAGACAATTCATGTTTAAAAAGATCATATATACTCAGGAGAAACATTAAACACTGATATCGGCAAAGAGAGAGACGTCTGAGTCTATTGAGGTCTGGGTGCTGCTCACTTGCCTTCAAGTGTCCGAAAAGGATTACAAACTCCTCTGTCATTGATTGATTGATTGAAAACTCCCTCTCACATGTGCGCACGCACACACACACACACAGTTTCTTAAACATGTGACATAGTAAGCTGGCAGATTAAAACTTCAAATGAAATAATACTGTTTCTGTAGTTTTGGTAACACTGATAAAGCATTATGAGCAACAGCTCTCCTCACTATACACACACTTTAAAATGAGACTACGTGCTTCATTTTGTAAATGCAATAATGAAATTGTTCTTTTGTTGCCTTGTTTTGCAGAACAAAGTGCTAAGATTTTCTCTGCTCCTCTTTCACGGTGATCTCTGTGAAAGTCCAGAATGCTTTGCTGTGGTTCAGTCCACTGTCATGTTTGCATGTGGTGAAACTATGGGGTGCAGATTTATGAAGTGTCCCTTGTTAAACTGCAGATATTTGTTCGCTTTCTGTAAAGAGAAAAAACAAAGAGTTTAGAAAATGATCATTTAAAAATGTAAATAAATAAGTAGAAATATATAGACGCAAATATGACACAATGTAGAATAAATTTGATTTTTATTTCTTTTTTTTACTAAATTAACTTTTCAATAAGCAGAAATCGTTTGTGCATTTCTGTGGTATTAATTGAAGTATTTTTTCATCCTAACTACACAAAACTATGCATTTTATTTGTGTTAAATAAGCTAAATAAGTCACTTTTAAACAATGTAAATACAGAATATAAAATAGTTAAATATACATAATAAATATATGAACGCAAACAAACAGCTGGACTGACAAAGATGGACATGTATTTTGTTTTATAACCAATATTATTTTCATATTTAACGGTACAGTTACCAATATGTAAAGTTGCACTTTATTTGACAGTTTATAATAAAACTACAGCATTAAAACCACCATATGAATCTTTATTACTGCTAAAAGACTTTTAGTTATTGTTTAATAGCTGAAAGAGTTTTTTTTATTTAAGTTAAAACATGAAACAAAAAAATACAAATACAAAAATTTTAACAGAGACTAACAAAACCATTTTTTCATGACCAATACACAATATTTCCATTACATTTACATTTAGTCATTTACCATAATATGGAGTAAATACATTTATTTATTTACTATTTGCTTGCTAGTTTGTTTTCTACACTCGCAGAAAAAAGGTACACAGTTCTACAAAAAATGTTCCTTAATAAACAGATTTGTACCTTTGTAAAAGTTGTACCATATATGCTACAGAAAAGACCTCTAATGATACTGTTCTCTACTTTTTATAGTACAATTGAAATGAAGATACACAATTGTTCTCATAAAAAGGTACACAAGTGTTGGACAACTCCTTTATTACAACATCTATAATACTGGAAAAGCAAAGCGATTTAATGAATAATTTCCATATTAAAACAGGAATCATCATTTAAAAGCATGTGTTTAAAGAAACTCAGAAACATTCATCTATAATACAAAACAACTGGTAAAACAAAACTATAGGCATTGTAAACAAATCATTAAAGGCATTTTTAATAAACATTTGGTGAGCATTTTCTGATAAATACATTTTCATTATTAATATCTGCACCTTTTAGCGTTTGCTTTCCACTACACACACGAGCTGGCAAAAGTACTGCATGTGCAAAGTGTTCATGCAGACATTTCAGTATTGTAAAACTAATCAGACGTTGTGCATATCTCATTACAATACTTTAAAATAATCTCATTTCTATTTTAAAATTAAGTAAATTAAATTTACTTTTAAGTGATTACAAAGGTATTTGTGAAAATTGGAGAAAAATGTTTTATATTGTAGATGGGAGAATGTATTTCTGTAACATTTGTGAAGTGTTGTGAAATCTTCAGCAAAAATAGATCTTTTGATTTATGTTCAGGTGTTTTTTTATTCTCTATTGTTAATGAAAAAGGTGCATTTAAACAAAAAGAATCTTTTAAAAAATATTGTTTAAAAATTTATTTAACGTTTTTATATTTACTGAAAATAAATTGACACATTTTGGATAAAGCAAAATGCCTTTAAATAGTTCTTGAAGGAACACATGACACAGATATGGCCTGTTTCCACTGAGTGGTTCGGTAGGGTTTGGTACGCTTTTATGGCCGTTCCCAGTCAAATGAAAACCGAACCGAACTGTACTGTACTGTACCACTTTTTTTTAGCCAGAATGAAAACAAAGGAACCGCCATGTTTTAAATACAATATTGGATCTGCAGATTTTAAAAACCAAAGGTACGTTTTGGTTACATTTGGTACAAATCATGTCCTTAAGAGAACAAACTGCAATATTATAAATTTGTTTCTTTGTCTTAATGTACAATGCTATTCTATAAAAAGGTCCTACCCCAGTGACGAGGCTTTGTACCTTCTACTATTTTTTTGTGAAAGTGTATGCAAAATGAGATTTTTTTGCTTGTGAATCTTCAACATTAACATGATTTAATACATTTATATTATTTTCCATTTATTTATTTGCTTGTTTGGTTTGTTCCAATAAATTAAATAGGCAATAAAAATCATGTCAAAGTTATTATTAGTCTATGTCTAGCAGTTTTTAAAAATTTAACAGATAATCTTGTTCACACACTCACCATCTGCTTGTGATCGTCGTGGAGTCTGGCAGTGGCTGTACGGTGGTAATCTGCTGGACGAGTGCAATGGAGGAGGATCGCATGTCCTTTTAAGGAATCGAGATCTCTGCAGAGCCGCGCTGTAGTCTGGTGGGCGTCGCCCATGAGCATGACTGTTGGTGTCTGCCTCAGCCAATGAGACAGCAGTGTAACCCGGTGGTGTGGGCGGCGGCTCTCTGAAATGCCCCTCCCTCCTACTCACGGTGTTCTTGTTTGTGTTCGGAGTTTCGTCTTTTCCACCTCTGCGTTTTATCGTTCCTGTGTCTCCTTCCAGTTCATCAGCCCAGTAGCCGGTGGGAGTGGTCATGTGACTTCGCCCCATCCCGTCTGACAGCATCTCCCAGCTGCGGCTGTCATAATATCCCACACGCTGAGGAATACTTTGGATATTGTCATGGGATCCACTCGAGCAGGATGTCCAGCTGCCACGACCGCTGTCTGCTGCGTCCAGTGATGCGCGGTCACACTGATCCTGAGTCAAGGAGTAGGACCTGAGAGAAATACACAGTAGATATTAAATTCAACGAACAACCAATAATTTCCTAAATTGGTAACACTTTACTTTGATGGTCCATTTGAGTATTAGCAGAATGTCTGATTAATATCTGTTTATACTGCTCCTTTAACAGACATTTAACTGACTATAAGAAACTTTGCAAGTACATGTCAACTTACATTAACCCTAACCTAACAGTAAACTTATAAATGCAATGAAAATTAGTTAACATGTAGATTCAATGTAACTTAAATTCAACAAACTGACCATCAAAATAAAGTGTGACCCCTAAATTTAGTCCAGTGGGACTCCACAGATGACCCACTGCCTTGCATATTTGTATGTCTACCTTAATTAACACACTAGTTAACTAGTGATGGGTCATTCTTCAACAATTCCTTTTCGTTCATTCATGCATTTGCACATTTTTGCACATTGTGTGTGTTGCACAGTTGTTCATTCATCATCATGTGAAAGACAGAAGCCAATCATATGAAGTCAGAAACAGAAAAAGACACACTCATCTCTCAAGTAGGCATGGCACGATAACCATTTTCAAGGTTTACCACGGTTTGGAAAAGTTAAGGTTTTGAAACCGCCAAAATTTTATGCTATACCATTCCTACGGTATGTATTAGATTTTTTTATTTAGTTTTTTTTGCTTTGTTTTTTAGGACAACAGTATCTCTAGCAGAAAAAATGTCCAAAGAAGATGTTTTAAATCTTTTAAAGAAATCTGTGTTTTTGAAACAAAGACAGCAGAAGTCAACAATTAATTTGAATTTTTCAGCCTGACATGTTTACTGCTCCAAAATACTATAAATGTTTTTTAAAATAAAATATATTGTGTCCAAATAGGTATAAAAAAAAAAAAAAAAAAAGTTTTTGTTTTTTACCCAGACATTTAAAAAGAATATATTTTAGAGCAGAAATCATAATACTGTGAAACAGTGATATTTATTTCCAAGAATCTTATACCGGCTTATGCCTACTCTCAAGTGCTGGGTTTGAGTCAATTATTTTTTCTTCCTTACAGCATTATAGTTAAGACTTGTTTGAAGTGTGATCAATGTTTGGGCTAGTTGCAGATGTGTTTAAAATCAACTCATACTTTGGCAAATTGAACGAAATGACTCGATAAAAGATACGTTCCTCTTGATGAACAAGACTCAAAGGTCCGAGTTAGTAAAATGACCTAAAGAAGAACCTTCCAGTTATTGAACTATTGTTCAATAACAAATTGAACGAAATGACTCGATAAAAGATCCGTTCCTCTTGATGAACAAGACTCAAAGGTCCGAGTTAGTAAAATGACCTAAAGAAGAACCTTCCAGTTATGGGGGGGGGGGGGGGGGGGGGGGGTAAACCTGGCAACTTGGGTTAAATTTCCTTTATTTGATAAACCCCATTTAATTAGCAGCCAAACTTGCCAGTTTTCACTGACTTTATACGATGGTGAGATAATCTAAGAGGCCATTCACATATCGCATGTAAAACTCAAAGGGAAAAGCTTTTCTTCATCAATCTCAATGCATTTTTGCGCATGTGCTCTCATGGCATTGATTGTTGCTAAGCAAGCACTAGCTACACTCTCCGAAGACCCACCATTGACAAACCCTCGCTGCAGCTCTGATACAAGTCACATTTTTAAATTTTAGAAAGCACTGCAGTGTTGGGATTAAATAATTGTTATGACTGAAAACTGAAAGTTAAGTTGATTGGTTGGTTAACACTTCTGAGAAGTTGACAGGTTATCAACTCGCTGTGTTGTAGGTCTTGAAAAGGCAACTGCGTCATTATGTATTTGCGTGTGTATGCTGCACAACTTCATTTGAAAAAATAAGCCTTTGTGAACAAAAGATACAATATGAAAACAACATCTAAAGTGACTGAAGCCCTCAGACAATCCTGACTTAAACCTGGCTATAAATCTCTGGAAAATCATTGGTGATAAACTTATGGCTAAGAAACAAAAGTCTGAATCTGAAGAACAGTTGATCAAGTGCACAGCAGAGGTCTGGGAGAGATTAGTTAGGCCCAGTTAGAGACTAACAATGTCCAGTGTTCTGATGTGCTGAAGTCATTCAAAGCAATGGTCTCTACATCCTTACAAATTTTTAACTGCTGTAATCTTCAGAAATGTTAGCTGTAATCTTTTTTGTGCTACAATCATTGGTCTAATTTTGACCACTCTGCTTTACAAAAAGTTAAAGATTTTGATAAAATGCCTTGATTATTCAGTAAAAGCCTGATCTACAAGCACTGTTCTACTTTTTCATTATTCAAATTGTGAAGATTTTGAAAATCTGATTACATTTCTGGAAAAAAGGAGAATGTATAACAGTATAACACACTAGACATTTTAAACTAACTGTACCATTTCTTTAATAATCGATTTGAAAACTTATACATTACACCTGAAGTGTGTAAAACTCTTACCCCAGGCTTAATTGATCTGGCTCAGCCCTGCGTGCACTGAGTGGATGTGCAAGTGAATGGGGCTGAGTGTGTGTGTGGTCATCAACCATGAGGAGTTCGGAGGAAGAGGAGCTTAACAGACTCATCTGATCTGATACCTCGCTTACCACTAACTGTGGGCCTAGGAGAAAAACACATGCACAAATGATTAAGCAAGTAGATTTACTTCTCCTTACCCTCCAGATATGTCAATCTTAAAGTTTTCATATATAAGAAACAGAAGATGCATCACTCTAATGTCAAAATATGCATTCCTTTAACTGAAAAAATCTTTCCAAAATATGTATTATTAACAACACATGGTCACATGAACAAATAATCAGCAGCGGTTCTAATTTTAGTGAACATTGCATTGGTACTTCTTAACATTTTTCTTAAGTTTTAATACGTTTTACAGAGTAAAATAAAAAATTTAACTATGCATCAAACTGGGACCGAAAACATCTGGCCACCATTTCTTTATTAATATTTAATAATAAAAAAACACATCTAACACAGTGCTATTAATAGTATCACTACTGAATCAAACTCTTCTCAATGAAACAACTGTACAAAATTTATCAAATATCACATACTAAGCTTTACTAAAAATATTACTGAACAAAAGTACTTCATAACCATAAAACCTCTACAATAGTAATAAAAATAACAACAGTTATTATTATTCTTATTCTTATCTTGTATATATATTCTTATATACATACATACATATATATACATACATATACACTGTACTCTATAGTACTGCCTTTTCTTTGCTTTTAAACCCCTTTTTTTTACCCTGAAACCCATTTTGATGACTTTTGTGTAGGAAACATTTATTAACCAAAGCTGTTCAACGCCACTAAAAGCACTTCAAGAGTTCACACTTAGATACTGTTTGACAACTTGTTAGCAAGTTAGCAGGTTTGGCATGCTGTCCCGGGAGAGAACCCTGAGCTCGGAGATAGTTGAGCCCAGGGCTCCCGCCAGGTCCATAAAGCATGTGAGGGGAGTACGAGGTCAGGTGTTCTCGATAGCTCCCCTCGGCAAAAGAGGAAAGGAGGAGAAGGGGTGGATGCTGGGTTTCTTTGGAAAACGAAGATAAAGGAGTAGTTCTTAGCTAGGTTACTTATAGTGAGTTTGGATCAATCCGATTAGCTAGCCAATGAGTGTAGATAAGTGGCCAGCTGCAGTCAATCATATCACGTGCTCCTCTCGAAATTAGTTTGTGAAACTTCCTTTTGATCACAGGGCTACATATAATGCACTTATAATGCAGTTTAAGCAAGTTCATGATTGAACTAAACCATCTCAAATTCACAGAAATCGTAAGTACTGATTAATTGCATTGTGTTATCTGTGTGTATTTGTGCACACCTAGCAACCAACATGAAAAATTCAACACCGAACAGGACTATTAACAGAGCTATAAAATTGACTAACTGCTACACATCATCAGTTCATACCTTTTCTAGGTGTGCTCTGAGGTGAATTACGTGGAGAGGAGAGGAGAGATGAAGTGCTTGATTGGCTGTCCTCTGGGAGCTTTCGTTGTCTGTCTCGGCCCTCTAATGACACACACACAAAAAAGTTTCTTGCTAGGGCCAGAAAGAATCTGCAGACATGTTTTGCCTATTCTGCAGAGAATTTCGTAAACAAATCTGTGGATTTATGCAGAATGATTTTGGGACTAAAACTTAAAACGTAATATATAAAAATATAATAATTGGACGCAAATCCAATCAGATCCACTTATTTAGTAAACAAAGCAAGTCTTTCATATAATATATCTACCAAAACAAGGAATGTATTGTAAATAAATCATATAAACATTTTCACATTAGTCAATAATATTATTGAAAATAATTTAATTTTTGTATTAATATAAAGTTACACAAGCAAATAAATAGACTCAAAAATAGACTAAAACTACTGATCGCCAACAGACAAATATGCTATTTACATGTAATCACCAGCAGAGGGCGCTGCGAAGCTGTGAAAACTCTGATTGTGTGAAGATTTTTGTATGAATAACAGAGAAACATCTTACCGAATGGTAACTCTTTGCTAATTGACTTCTTGCGACCATGATTTCCATTCGTTTGTTGAGGACTGGCACTTCTCTGACCAGCAGGAGATGCATCAATCCGTCTCCTCTCACCAGCGTGCTTCAGTGCTGAAATAACAAACATGAATCAGTTGTACTAATAAAAAAATAATAATAATAAATTCTGACACTTCCATGCAGTATAATCGTATTAATAGTGGCTTTTATTTTGAAGCTTCCAAAAGCACATAATTCAGTCATAAACTAACTCATACACAGCCAAGGGTTTAACGCATGTGTTTTGAAGATAAATACATTTTTAATAAAAAAAAAAAAGAAATGTAATGTTATAAACTACAATTACTGACTTCTGGTGGCTGCTGAATGCATGTTGAGAAAGACAGACGTACACAATCATTTTCGCAAGATGGGCTTACACATAAACATGACATTATACGAGAAATATACTAAATAACGTAACAGTAACTCCAAGCCAACTAGGTCAACTTCTTGTTTGTTGTGGTCTTCTGTGGTAAACTATGTGGTAAATGGTTCCTGTGAGACGTGTCTTATCCCAGAGCTTCTGCCATCAACATGTCTTGAGTCAGATACATCAGTCACGCATAGCGTGCATTCAGTCATTATCAGAAGTCTACGACTGACGTTTATCATTAAAAAATGAGGAATATTTGTGTTACAAAAACACATCGTATACCTTCATAAGACATGCGATAACACCCTGGCGGTGTATGGGTTAGTTTGATCATGAATTTATGCACTTTTAGCATGGAAGAGGCAGGATACATTTAATAAAAATATAAAATAATTTATACATCACTTAAAACTACTCTGACTGTGTTTGTCTGACAGAAAATAGTCATATACACAGAGGCTGTCTTGAGGGAGTGAATTATAAGGTCAATTTCATTTTTGCTTAAATTATTCCTAACAATTGTTTAATTTTTATATTACATTAAACTAAATGACATACTTATGTATTTATTGCCCAAAATGCCTTTAATATTAAAACCAAAACTACTTGGGTTATGTAGAGGTTAATATAGATTTGTTAAAATGAATTAATAAATAATAAAGCCACCTTTTTATTATAAAAACAGTATGTGTTCATTACACCTATTTAATCCCTTAACAAATCAATTCTTTTGATTTATGCGTTCATTTAAAATCATTTACATCAGATGTCCAATGCATTGTAAAACTTTTATATCCCACAGCTCTACACTGCAATATAAACAATAATTCTAAACAAATAATAGGTTAGCTGTTCCAGGAACTTTACTGTTGTCCTGTCCTAGTTAAAAACTTAATCTCTTACTAAAACATAAGAGAAATAAATACATGGTGACACTATAAGAGTACTTTAAGGGATGTAAACAATACCAATGGTAATAGCACAGTTCCTGTTTTACATTTTAAATTATCATAGCTTACAAGAATCCCAAAGAGTCCACATATTTATAAATATTGTTATGACAGCTGTTTTAAGGTTAAGTTATGACTAAATTTCCTCGTTACAGTTATGAAATAGTCTGATGACAAGCAGGAAATGTTCATGGACCAATGGTCTATAATATAAAACCTTTTATTAAATTTTAAATCAATCACATTCAATTTTAAAATCAGGGTATTGTTTTAAGGCAGGGGTCACCAAACTTGTTCCTGGAGGTTTGGCGCCCTGAAGATTTGATCTCCAACTCTAATCAAACACACCTGAACAAGCTAATCAAGGTCTTGCTGGGTATACTTGAAACACCCAGGCAGGTGTGTTGAGGCAAGTTGGAGCTAAACCCTGCAGGGCACCGGACCACCAGGAACGAGATTAGTGACCCCTGTTTTAAGGCGTGTGTGACTCACTGGAGCTGTTGGCAGGCTCACAGGTCATGGAGAGCTCATGAAGTGTGTCCTCGTTGCACTCGTTTGAGTGCGTGTCCAGATACTGGCGCACACGTCTGCTCATCATCTCCACCTCATACAGTTTCTTAGCACTGAGGAAAGAGCTCCGCCTGCCCTTTCTCTTTCCACCCATCGTTCCAATGTCAGACAGAGAAGAGCTGCTCACCTGACTTAGAGATCTATACAACAGAATACAACACACAGTAATCGTTAGTGCAACATGTCAACGCACTAAAACAAAATATGAAGTTAGCAATACAGCTAGATAAACAAGCCATGAATGCTGCTGGAGAATTATCATGGCATTCTTAACATGCACAAGAGGAGAATTGAGATGGGTCACTAATTTTCACAAAACTACAGTTAAATTATGTGTTCATTATGACTAGGGAGAAGAGACAGACATGAGTAATTGACTAGTCAGTTGCATATTTTCCAAACCAGCGAATTAGCAAAAATTTCAAATCAAATTAAGCAGTTACAAATTAAATAGTAAATAAATACTAATTAAACTACAAGCAATTTTGTTTTGTAGAAATCCAAAAACGTACAAACAAACAAAAAAACTTAAAAATAAAACTGTTGACACAGCTGAAAATTGTAAAAAAAAAAGTTTGAACAATAATTTAAATGTCAATTAAACTTGTAAAATAAAACTTCACCTAATATGACATTTAACGTTACAGCTGTAATAAAAGTAGTCAAAGAATAAATCAAATGATATTCTGATTTTATAGTAAACACTATAATAATAGAACAAAACATTAACCCATGCTTTGAACAAGCAAAAAATATTTATTGCCTAATTAAACAACGAATAAATGATAAAAAAACATTATATATAGGCAGCAATTACATTATTTAACCAATAGGTGGGGACAAACCATCACTGAATAATTCTTCAAAAATGATCCATCTAGCAATAAAACGTCAAGTTTGTCATTTATTGAAAATAAGACAAAAAATAACTAAGGGTTGTGCAAATTATAATGTTAGATTTATACATTTACGTTGCGTTATCAGCAACGTAAATGTAACAGTGAATTTTCACAGTACTGAATATTTTATTTTATTCAGCTAATTTTTTTCATTTTATTTTGAATAAAATTACAGGTTCTGAGTTCTGTTTGTTAAAATCAAAAGTTGCTTGCAGTACTACTGTTTTTGTAAGAAATGGACAGCAAATTACATTTGTCTCCTCACTTTTGGCTGATCCAAAAAATGGTCCGATCCATCAAATAAAAAACAGAATTTGATCCAAACCGTGAGATTTGTGATCCATTACACCACTTGTATGTAAATATATATATTTATATATATATGTGTGTGTGTGTGTGTGTGTGTGTGTGTGTGTGTGTGTGTGTAAGAACACTGTATGCCTTTTTTTTACATAATTAGTAGAATTACTTCATTGAATATAAGCACATAAGAAAAAAAATGATGTTTTTAATAGAGAAATGAAACATTTTATAAACACAGTGCAACCAAAACATGCCATGCTACGAATGGGATTGTTAGTATTTTAGTGCGCAACACAGCAAAACATGACAGTTAACAGTGAAAGGACAGAACGAGAGAGGCAGTACCAGTCCCACTTACCCAAGACTCCTCCACTTTTTCTTCCTAAAAGACAGATTCGCAAAGAGTCGAAAACAAAGAAAATGAAGAGATTAGGAAAGAGCAGACAAAAAGACACTTAGACAGTGAAGCCCATATAGAGTAAAAGGCCCAAAAACAAGAAGTCCAGTAAGACACCAAGCACACAAATGGCACAGAAACTATCAGCAATGGATATTTGATGATACCTAGTACATTGCAAATACAGCAATTTAACAACATCAACAGCATTTTAAAACATCATAGTGAGGTATCTTAGCTAATAAAATGAGCAAAAAAGTTAAAAAAACACCAGCAAAAATGATGTTGTCGCAAACAAAAATCTGAGTAAAGGAGCTGCATTTCTTATGTCAATAGTAGTGGCTGTCAACCTGTGGGCTGTGACCGTATGACAGAAGGGTTGCCAGTTATTATTACTAGAAGTATCATTGTTAATACATGTCTAGTCTTAATGTAAAATTAAATAACAGCAAATAAATATGTAACTTTGCTTCATCATTTAATTTTCACACCTAGTTTAACAACCCGCTAATTTAAATCAGTTTTAGATGAAATCATGGATGTAAATGGGTTCCAGTGCTGGTTATGACTGCTCATCTAAACTGAGACCTGCACTCTCAGAACCAGGTGCAGTCAAGATCAGATTTGATTGGTGAATGCTGGAGCAGGAGCTAAGATACTCCTGTTTGTACAGAGCTTGGATTAGTGGTGCTTAACACCATCTGTGGGACTCCTGCAAAATCTAACTCATAGAAGCAACAGGGGCATTATGATTAAGGCCTTTTTATTCTGGAAGCTACAAATACTACAAATCGCTGCACCCGAGTCCCTTTTTCTGTGTGGGTGATAAGCGTTTTGTTTGGTCGAGTGTGATGAATGAGTCGTGGTTTTAGGTCTGTTGTCACCATTTAGTTACAGTGAGCTAGTTCACATTACACAAATGTTGAACTTCAAAATGACTGAAAACTCTGTCCTGTGCTGGTCTAGCTGAACCCACCCTGCCAGCTCCCTGATTCCTACTGACGGTCTACCCACTGTTGACACCTGCCTGAATTTTGGTTTTCCCCGTTTCCTTAAAAAGTGTCAGCCTGAAACACTCTGGGCTAGGTGTAATGTAATGTATATTTTGAGTTGAATTAAACCATTGATGCTCTATTCAACATTGACATTTAGTTGGACTTTCATCTGAGAAAGTTACCAACCTGCCACATATAGAGGATTCATTAAAAATATATATGAATAAATAAGTCTCAGTGGGTTGCAGAAAGATGTGTTTGATTTGACTCAAAATGTCTGGGTTTTATGCAGTATGTATGAAATACTTCTTTTTAGTAGATTAGTCTCTTTACCTAGTCTTAAAAAGCAATGCAGGGTCCATGGTGATGGAAGCCATTCGAACCACGTGTCTGATCTCTCGTGCGATCATCCTCAACTTCTCAAAATTCACCAGACCGTCCACCTCTGAGTTGTTGCCTTTAAGAAGATGTGTTTGACAGTCATTTTCTATCCAAACCATATAAAAATTTTGGGATTTTAGTTCCTAAATGAAAAGAGAAAGTTGAAGGTTACCCTCATGAAGGAAGGTGAGGTCTTTCTTGATGACGGGGAACAGAGGGATCACCGGCGGCTGAAGGTTGTGTTTGTTCAAAAGGTTGCGATATTTGGCCATGTTGCGAGAAGGGTCAAAAACATCCTGTAATTCAGCCAAAAGCTTCTCGTATTTTCCAGGCAACCGTTCCCATGTAGATCGCAACCGAGAGACAGGAGCCAGATTGAACCCACTGCAAAACATGTAAAGATACACTTCAGTACATGGATAGGAAACAGGCTAGTTCTAGAACTAGCACGTCGACCAATTCTTGCAAAGAACACATTTGATGTGTTTGTACATAAGTGCAATTTGTACAGAAATTTTGTCCTATATTATACTTTTACAAACAAATAATACATTTTATATTATATTTAAATATATATTAATATAAATATATATGTAATTAATTTTTTTATTATAATATAATTAATATTATTATTATTTTAATTATTATAAAAACAGCTAATCTTATACTTGATCTATACATTGCTACTCTCTTTTTATAAAAGTAAATGCTAAATTTATAAATGTGAAAAAAAAATATTGCAGACATAACTGATTTAGGTTTTAGCTATGCTTATTTCCCTTCTGATTTCTGTTAAAACGTTAAAGAAAATGTATGTAAATTAAAATATAGTGATCAATTTATTTTTCTTAATAAAACTACTAAAACTTACAAAAAAATAATAAAATTATAATATTAAATGTATTGTAATGTGTATTTACATAGCGCATTTATCATGTATGGCCATACATCCAAGCGCTTCACAATCATGAGGGGGGTCTCTCCACACTACCACTAGTGTCATTTTTAATGACCACAGTGACCTCAGTTTATCATCCTATCCGAAAGTAAATAATAAATAAATAATAGTGCATGTAAAAAAAAGTAATAAACAATAATTCTGTAAAGAACATAATATTTATCATTATACAACATAATACTGTAAAATAATAAAATTATTATTAATAAAAGTAAAAAAATTTTCATTTATCATTATTTGAATTAAAGTTCTGAAAATTACAGCCCTGGATATAAAACACAGAGTTATCTTGACAACACTTGTAGATGCATAAATTAGTGTTTACAGTAGGGATGTCTAGATCTAATCATGAGATCGGAAATCAGGCCCGATCACACGGTTTCAGGTTTAATTGAAATTGGACGTTACCTCCCGATCAGGACTCAAAAATATATGTGTTCTCATTTTTATAACTTATCTATAGTTATGCTCAGCAAAGCATGTGGCATGACAGCAAGCTATTGGTTAAATGCTGGCAAAGTAGAACATGGAAGCAGCTTTAAGCGGAAAGTGCCAATATGTCTGTGGTCTAAAGTTGATGACGACAACATTGCAATAACAAACTGTGAGATATGCAAAGTTGGGATTGCCTCCCGGATATTTTAAGTTGAGGTGCTATTTGTTTTTATATTAGATTTCTTTATATTTACTGTTGCACTAAGGTCAAAAAGTGAAGAATTTATGTTATTTATTACTTAATTATTCTAGCTACCTCACACAAGTGCTCTGTTTGTTAGCAGAGTTGTTGAATATTAAAATAAGGTGAATTAAATAAAACATGAGGAACATGACAGATCTGTTTCTTCACTCTTCTTTATTCTTTTTTTATGTAATATAGAAGTATAAGATCAGGTTACGGTATTGGCAGATACTCAAAATCAAATGACTCGGAGGCAAAAAAAAAAACCTGATCGGGACATCTCTAGTATACAGTGTATATGTACAGACAAAGTCTACCTGATAATGGCGAACATAGAGTTGAAGTTCTTGCAGTCGCGGCAGTGAAGAGCAATCTTAATAAAGTGCTTGATGATCTTCACTCTTTTGGCCAGGTTGGTTTCCTGAACAATCTCTGTGGCGACCCAGAAAGTCTCCTGGTTCACCAGACCCTCAAAGTTGCGCAGGTTTGTGGGAGGCTCTTGTGGGTGAAGCTTAAAGAGGTCATTGATGTAATCTGTCGGTTCGATGCAGGAGAAGAGCAGATAGTTGCGTGCTGAAAGCTGATTGGCTATCTCCATTGAGCTCAAAGACAACAGGGGCACCACAGATTCTCTCTGCATCTCCAGTGCTTCCACATCCGAACACAGCGTCTCGGTTTCCATATTGCTCTTTAGATAGTACCTTAAGAAAAAGTAGCAGACAAAATTAAAAGAAATTGTCTAAATTGTCTATTTGACTTCTTAAATTCAGCTTAAGACCAAACCTGGCACTCAGTTGGATCCTGTCAGCCAGTTTGGACAGTTGATCAGGCAGTCGTCTCTGCTTGATAACTCCTTCCTGTGTGACTGAAACTTCACAGAGCGAAAAAGCTTCGGGACTCGCAGACAAGCCAAACTCTTTTATGGCTAGATTGGCAGCTTCTCTGGCTGTGGTGTCTCTATTGGCCAGTAAGTAACGGCTTTGCTGATCTGCCTTGAAAATGCGCAGCACCTGGTCTTGCAACTCTGTAAATAAAGAAAGTGTAAGCAAACCATAAACAAAGGTAAACAAGAAACTTCAAAACCTCAACCAGCACTAGGATCAAAACATTCCTGCATAGCAAAGATAGCATGCAACTTCTAGAACTATATAGGATGAGTAAACGAAGGAGATGTCGAAGAGATAGATGCAAATGATGAGATGACGGAGACCCTGATAACAAAGCCAAAAGGATTCAACTGGAGATCCAGAACAGGCAGAAGTGTCTAGAGAAAACATGTTGAAAAGTGCAACGCCTTGAAGAGAAAAGTAGAAAGATTTGTTTTTTAAACGAGACAAAACAGGCAGAGATTTATTGGAAAGTAAAGCTATTAAAAGGACAGCTTCTTCAGTAACAACTCAATACTTGAATCAAAGTAAAATCTGCTTTTGGTAGTCCCCCTTAGCACTGACCACAAAATGTACTTTAATTGATTTTTTATGTATACAAATATTATGAAATTCTCTTCATAGTCAGATCACCCAATAATCAATCTGTGAAATTGTTGGTACACTACTTACACCTAAAAATGGGGGTGGATGGGGTTGGTTTACTTAAAACTTTTTTATTATTATTGCTGTTGGTCACATTGTTATTTTAATGCTTTTATAATTATATGAAATGGTATAAAACTAAATCTTAACGGATGTCATTGAGTAAATAATAATGAATCGGTTGTCAAAAAAGAAAGTCTATAATGTTTTAGTTTTTAACGTTTTTTAGCTAGCTAGTCAGCTAGATACTTTATTGATCCAAAATTAATTGACACCAATAAAGTTTAAACCATGAAGGCAAGCCTGTAGATATCATAGAAGCAATTTGCAAACTTGACATGGAAGTTTTAATGATGTGATGCAAAAATGGAAATGCTTTCAATCATTCGTCTGCTTTAGAATGTTGGGTAATCAAAGCTTTGGCGGTCGCAAGTGTATTTTTGTCTTGCTATGGAAGTCAATAGGGACCGTCCACTACTTGTTGAAGAACAACATTCTTCTTACATATAATTGTGTGCAAACAAACTTTAAGTGTATATTTGTTGGGTGAACTATTAGCTTTGGCAAAATTTTAATTATGCGTACATGTGAATACTACAGCATTGAATTTTATTATTACTGATAAACTAAAATAAGCTTTACATTATTTAAAATGCTGTTAAGCAACGATGTTAACCAATGAGAAGCTTCAACAGGATCTACAGAAACACATACAAAATGGTTACAGTGGTCTCTCAGCTATAGTTTGAAGAACAATCATTTAACTACTGGCCCTATAAGCCTAGTGGCAACGTTTTCACATGGCACAATGTGTATGGAGTCTACGCCGACAGGCCACTGAAATAAAACAGAGACAATGTAATAAAGTGCGGAAATAATTTCACAGCCTTTAGGGCATTTTTAGTTATTTTTATTTCCAGAGCGTGACTCAGACTTGCCAGACAACTGGCATAACATAGTATATTGACAAAAACACACGGCAACAGTGCAGCTACACCCCTTTTTTTTACTTTCAAGAAAATGAGAACTTCCCATAAGTCTGTTTTTATCCACAAATAACAAATCATCCATGGTGATGCCATTAGTGTGAAAACATTGCCACTGACTCAAGTTCCAAAAACAAATCAGATCAGTAAACCACTGATTACTACACAGGGCTGAAAAGATCAGCAGACCGAAGAGTAGGAAAGACAGTCAGCCAAAGAAAACTACAACAGATTGTGATTGAGAAAGACAGACAGGCCGCTACATTAGACAGGTTTCTATGAAGACGAACAGCTATCTATAGGAAAAAGAGGAACTATATGACAGGTGTCTAAAAAGGAGACCAGATCCGCAGTGCACAAATACTCACGAGTGAATCCAGGTGCTGTGAGCAAGGAGAGGGTGGCGGGATCATTAGTATATTGCACAGATATAAAAGAAGGAAAGCAGGAATATGTAAAGCAGCAGTGGAGCAGAATGTCTATGTGTAGATGAATCCACAGTAAATACAGTAAACAGAGGTAGTAGTAAATTATGAGTAGCATTTACAGTGCTTCCCACAGGTTTGAAAAATACTTGCGGTGTTAAGCCGGATTGAAACACACCATTTACCCAAATCACGTAAATAGTTACTATATGCGACAAACACAATATCACTTCATTTTTAACATTAATTGTATTTCTGACAGCTATAAAGTGTTTTTTTTTTCAAAGAGTAAAAAAAAAAAAGATTTGAAAAAACAAAAAGAAAAACAAAAAAACACATCTATTTCTCTTATTTGTATACTATTAAGGAGCCATGTGCACCCACTGACAGGTAAAATCTGCTTCTCTCTTTCTTTCAAGTTTAAAGCAAACTTGAATGCCAAATCATTTTAGATGTGTATATAAAATAGCCTATGTAATATATTAACATCAAATTAATAAAATAATCAGAAAATAAGAAATGACAGAAAAAGGAATAAAAACACAACATCTCTAAAAATTGTCATAACTACAAGATTAATCTTTGTAAATTATTTAAATAAGGCTAATGTGTTGATTAACTACAAATGATGTGCATATATTTTGCAGCCAGTTTAGACCAGTCATTTCTTCGTCATCGAGTATATAGTGAAGTCTTTCTGAGTCGTTTTGATTTAAAAAATGCATCATTTAACGTTTCTCTTGCGACTGCGAAGTCAAGTGAAAGTAGGCTTGAATAAAAAGGTGATACAAAAATGCATACAAGCTTTAGAAAGTGAAAGCAAAAGTTGTATCCTTGACATTTTAGGAGATTTAGAAACACATACAAAAAAATTTGTGTCTGTGTGTCTCTGCAGTCTGTGGGAGTGGTGACAGATCTCACAGAACGCAACTGGTAAATGAGAGAAGACTTTCAACTACTTAATTGATAGTGGATGTTTGGTTATATTAGGTGGATACAAAAAAGTGTAAAAGGATGTTAGTAAACAAGAAAAGCGTCACTAAATATACTTGGGCGGCCGTTAATATACCTAGGCGGCCTGCCCAAGTAAAGTCTATGTGTGGGAAGCACTGAATTATACTGCATGTTACAATACAGCAAACACAAATATTTGCTTACAAGTTTGAAGCTTTGTAAGCTATGTTTGACACAGTACATATGCTTGAATTACATGATATAAAAATAAAAAAGTCCAACAGTGTTCATGACTTAATATCTTGAATTATAGCAAGCTACATCTAAAAATGCACTGCTGGCCTGCATCATTTTCAACACCATATAAATGAAGTTTAATTACAAAAATATCTAAATTTTCCAAGTATCCATTAAACAAATGTTATATGCTTTTACCTGGTGGCTGTGTACTGTAGTCGATGATGCGTTGCTGGCCTTGTGCCAGGTCAGGGTTACTGGATGAGAGAGTTCCGCTCACTGGCATAGTGGGTGGAGTCTGTTTGTTCTGCCGTAATCCCACAATGCTGTCATCCTGAGTCTGCCCCAACCCGAGGTCACTACACAACAAATGCACAATGACTCAGCATGACTCAATGGAAAATAAACATTAATCTATCAGAATTCACCACGTAAACCATAGACCTTAGTCAGGGTAGTGTCACATTTCATCTTATGAAAATGTAGTCACGATGGATAGAATTACAATGTGCTCAATGATTTTTACTGTTGTTTAACAACAAACCAATTGTTCAGCTGAAAACAAAAATATATTAAACATTCATGTGATTATGCTATATAGGAGTTTCTCTTTAAATCAGGTGCCATTGTTGTGACAGAGTATTTTTAATTTAATATGGTGTTCAATGCTTAAATCCCCATTCCATCATGACAAGATTCATATGTTGGTCTCTTCTTGTTGAAAATGAAAATTCTGGTCCAAAACAGAAAATTCTAGATGGAATTGGCCAAAAAACAGCACTGTTTGTTTAGTAACAATTATTACTTTTAATAAATAATGAAGTTATTATGTAAGACTTTTTAAATTGAACTCTACCTCAAATTATATTGATTAAAAAAACAATTCAATAAAATAATGACATTTTATTGACAGTAGAATTTCGATAACAATGAAGGAGAGGTGTCAAACCAGTGTTGCCAGGAACAAGTACAAGACATAGAAATGTCCTGTTGGCATGTTATTTAAGTGTACTTTGCTTTCCCAGTGAGTATGTGCAATTCATCTATAGATTAGCGCAAGTACATGCAGAATATCCACAAAGCGTATAAAATTGAGCTATTATGAACTTAGACAAAAGTGTTGCCAAGCTAGCTCATGCATTGCACAGCTGCTCTTGAACTTTTATCAGCACAGCAACAAATCCACCTTGCATGGCATTAGCTATTTAAATATATGGATTTCATAGCGCAGCGCTTATTGTATCTGGTGTGAAAGTTGCTTAGTTTATAGCCATTTTTCTACTGTACAGTCAGCAACAATATGAGAAGATGAGTTTGTGCATCTCTTTACCTGTAAGGTTTCTGAGGTAGGATGCTCATGCGTGTCTTGTCTAGAATCTTCATCAGTTTGTTTCGGCCACCCACTGTATGTGCTTTTGCCTTCTTGCTGATTTTTTCTTGACCTATAACATCAGAACCAGCCCCAAGTTCAGGTATAGAATATCGACAGTTTTTCTTTCCGTCACCAATCTTTGGAAGATGAGGAACGCCGTTTTTCCTTTCCTCGGCCACCCTTGCCACCAACTCCTTGAAGACTGTGAAGAGAGAAAGAGAGTACGCAATAAGAAATCTATAGAAATCAGCAGTTTTTGTGCCAGAAGGTGGAAATCTCACCAAGTAGGTTGGTTTTGACACTCATAGAGAGCTGTATGTTGTTCCTGAGAATTTCAGTCGCTTTCGACAACTGCACATTCTCAAACGTCTGTCCGTTCACCTCCAATATCTGTTCATGGGGATCGAAGGGTGAGATAATGAGAGTAAAAAAAGTGTTAAAGGATGTGCCTCAGTGTTTTATTGCTGCATTACACTGACGACTAAAAGGTGTTACCTGGTCTCCACGCTTAAGCCCTGCCTCCTCTGCTTTGCTGCCAACCTCCACACTGCTGATGAAGAGGCGTGTCCCCCGTTCAGCTCCTCCAATAAGGGTAAAGGGGAGGGGGATCTCTCGAGCTGTCCTGGTTACAGTTATCACTCTGGGTTTGGCTTTTGCTGCACAAGCGATGTTGAGCAACCTCAACTGACCGGTCATTTTCTGCTCAGATAAAAGAGGACATTGATGAGGATGCTTGTCTGTTACGTGGTAATGTAATATAAATTTTAACTGTATTTATGAATGAGAAATTATAAAATTAGGAATAAATGCTTGCACGCGCTTCACACCTCTCTTTCCAGGTTGCTTTGAAACTCCTCCAAAAAACTGGTCATGTCAGGGTCTCCTTCAAAATCACTAAAATGATTGTTAACCCATAAGAGCACAACCCGGGTTACCTGTGTAAAGAGAATGAAGAGCTGTGAGTCCAGTCGAACTGAAGATTAAAGTGCATTTCTTCAGTAAAGAGAGTGATTTGGTCACCCTACCTTGTCCCGTAAACAGGGGTCATTAAACCAGTCTAGAAGTCTCTGTCCCAGAATCAGAGGACTGGGCAGGAAGGTACGATAGGTTAAGAGAAAGTCCTCAATATATGTGGGGTCGACGATTGAATGGTCCTCCACTAAGTGCTGCATCAGCCTCTCAGCAGTACCCTAAAAAGATTCATGTAAAATTGTATATCAGAATTTTGTCTGAATTGACAGACTTATTTTCTGGTATAACAGTATCCAAACATAACATGTTAAGCCTGCAAGTTTATTACTTTTAATAGAACTTTAATAACTGCCTTCTATTTTAACATGTTTTAAAGACGGATTAAAGTTTCAGAGGCAGTGTGTCAATATGATTCACACAACCTGAGGTTGAATTAATTTTTTAACGTGTGAAAATTATGGACGAAAATTTCGGATTCAGTGTGCAATAAACTTAACACAATTCTTCAGAAATTAGTCTAATATGGTGATTTAAAGCTCATTTAATACTTTGATCAAAAAAAAAAAAAAAGAAAGTTGTGATGCATTTTGGCATAATCCAAATTCCAGAATTCCATTCGCATAAAACAGAGTCAGACTTTAAATATCATATCCTAAATTATTACATTTACACAACATTAACTATAATATTAAACAATTAATAAATCAGTGTAGCACTCATTCAAGTAGACAGTAGTACCTTGACAACAATGTGTCCCTTGCGTGTGCCCGTCCTGTCGAGTTCTCGATGTTCTTTGACCATGACGATTTCCCCTTCCTCCTCTACTCGCTGTGTGTTCTGCTCAACCTGATTCAGAATGCAGCAATAGTCCTGCTGGGCAATGCACACAAACTACACACACACAAAAAATAATATTAGTTGCTGATTTTTTTTTTTCATCATTTAAAAAAAATAACTTAAATGGGCCTTTAAGTTCATATTTAACAGGGCATGATCAATTTGAATAAAACTGCATTTCAAAAATACAAATGCTAAGCATCCCCTAAGAAATGTAATTTATTAAAATAGAAGAGACTATTTAAATCCTCAGTAGACTCACCTGACAGTCATCAACTTTGGTTCTCATTACTCCAGTCATCAGTTGTTTCTCCATTGATGGGCAGACACCAAAACTTCCACCCATACACACACTCTCACTGCGGCCGTCCAGGTATATCACCTCTACTGCTCCATTCAGAATGACTGACCATGAGTCCAGCTGAAACACACACACACACACACACACACACACACACACACAATTATAATGCCTGTTATCCTCAAAACACAAATTAGTAGCAGAAATTCAACAATGAGTCCAGCCTTACCTCTTCACCATGGTTTAGGACTATAGTTCCAGCACGTTCCACAACCGCAAACACCATAACAGCACAGAGTTCCCTTCGCACCGAAACACTCAGACTGGCAAATGCTGGAAGCTGCTGAACAAACTCCAGCAATTGCTCTGTAAACAGAAATGGAGTAAGAAATTGAAAGAGAAACAGATAACACCCAGAAAGTGAAAATGAAAGTGCATCATCATATTGAATTTCAAATCATTGAAGGACTCAAGCTAAAAGTACCAATGTCATCATCTGTACGGTCCATAGGGTCTTTTTCAAGGCAGTCTCTCACAATATCCCGACTCATAAGATGGTCCGTTCCCCTTCCTACGTCTTCATCATCATCATCCTCGTCTGAGTCCACTGCTGTTTCAGGAAGCCCACTTAGATCCATGTCTCCACACTCGCTCTCAGTGGCCTGTCAAAGACACCATGTAAGCTCTAAATGTTTGCTAATTTTGAGCTGACAATAGCTATGTTTCCATATAAAGATGCTAATAAAATGTATGTGCAAAACTGAAATATTGCATAAAAATATGTGAATAAAGCAGCGTTTCCAACCAATGAGTCAATTCCTGATTTACTGGCACCAAATATCAAAAGTAAAAACAGAATTTAATGCGGTAGGAGAAGCTGCGTGAATCTTTTCCTCATTTAATAAATTACTTGTGCCTAAGAACACAATGCCAACTTGCAATTAACGTGCTGTGGCGTTTGAAGATGTGAGACTCAGAGCACAAACACTCTTGACAGTTTTGTAAGAAATTAATAATACCACTAATACTGAAATGGTTAAGGCGTTTCAGAATAACCAAAACAACATTTCAGATGTTTTACAACTCGGTCAGCCTGCTGGTTTGTCCATTCACACACATTGTTATCATCACATGATCTCTTATGACAAAAATCACAGGACTTTTTCATGCTCATACTGGAATTTGTTTGATAAAAGTATTTACATTAGGAATGCTCTGACCAGGATTTTTGGAGCAGATACCGAGTGTGATCCCTCATCATGGTTATGGCCGATACCAAGTAATGATTCTGATGCTTCAAGCTTTATATATAACTTTAATATTGCATAGCATACAGGACATTTTCCCTCCTAGTTTGATACTTAAGTGAAGATCTCTCCTTTCCTAAGACAACAAAAGAAGGATGTTGCATATAATCCCTCAAACACGTCTCTTATAACCATTTAGTGTGGACATGTCATGGTCTAAAGCAGCTTTACAAAAAAAATTGTTACTACATAAAAAAATTAAGAAACATGACTAACAAAACAATTTGGAGACACTGCAAATGACGAACAAAAAGGATTCATCATGTCTCAATCAAGAAAAAGTTTGGAGCGCATATTTGATGCAAAAGAAGTTAAAAAGGACCTTCCACTGTTTGTAAACCCGTAAACAAACACTTGCGATCGGTTCATGTGATCAGCCAGATTAGCGAGTACCGTTTGAGTCATAAAATGTGATTATCGGCCGATACCGATCTCCAGCAGATTGATCAGAGCATCCCTAGTTTCCATCGTAGTTTATGTGCATCTTATGTTATTGAATAAAAAGTTTATCCTACAAATTTTATGCGCATTTTCAAAATTGTCACACATCTCGATGTTTCTATCAACCGGTTTTTATGCGCATATTCAAAATACCCAGAAAAGGTGGATGTAAACGTAGCTAATGATCACATACTATACATTCAACGCTTGACATTTGATTAGTTTAATCCCTTTCTGCCCATTGTGGGGTGCATTATCAAATTTTACATGAATGTGTGTATCCAGTGTGTATCAAACAAAAAGTGCTTCAGTGGTAGTTCATGTGTCAGGGTTCTTTAGATAAAGGATTCATAAGATAATATTGATAGTATTAAAGGTAATAACAGCCCTGCTAATGTGCCTTGGACTTACGATTTTGTTGTTTATATGGATGTGATTTGCTTGTGCACATGCGTACTGGCAAAAGTGTGTGTGTTTGTGGTGTGTGATGGCATTTTGAGCGGATTGTGTTTGTGCACGCTGTGGATATGCAGCATGTGTGCTCATGTGTATGGCTGATCTGCGGATCAAAAGGTGTATGTGCTTGAGGACCACATGAATAGGTTATGGAGAGGTGACAGATGGACCACAGAGGAGGGCGGGGGGAGGTCGGGGGAGTCCTCTACTGGACAGGATTTTAATGTGCGCGAGTGTGTGTTTGTGTGTGTGCGTTTGTCCCAGATGTTCACAATAAATCTCTGTGAGGATGTGCTTCTGTTGCCGAGTAAGAAGATTGCTTTCTAGCGGGATAGAGTCTCTTGTCACCTGGTAAATATCCGATAGGCTGCTGCTTCCTGAATCACTGGCGATGCTGGAACGTGATTGGCTGGAAGTCATATGAGAGTGGCAACTGTCGGAGGGGTGAAGCTTTGAGAAGTCGGTTGGGAGCTGTAGGAATAATGAATACTATTAGAAAAAAAACAAGCAGAAAAATGCATATAGACAAGAATCATTTCAATAATATTTCAAATTAATTTATACATTTTATGGGAAAAAAATCTTTAGAAACCATCAGCATTTTAAAAACCTTTCAGCTTAAGTTCCTGCAGCATGACACTAAGGTTTAAAACTGCATGTATGAGAGAAGCATCATTTAAACTACCATAAAACACATTAAATGTTCCCTAAATAACCTTGTGAGCATGCAGCAGGAGAAAAGTGCCACAAGGGGAAAACAGAGAGTGATGGAAAAGTGCAAATAGTCATTTTCCCCACATGCAAGTTGATCAGGAATCTAAGGATTAATTTTAAACCTCCGTGTGAGTGTCAGCACAATTACACTTTAGTGAAATGAATGATGTGCTCCCACACGCACACGAGTTCAGCTTAATGGTGCAATTTAATAATAGAAGATTCTAATAATCCATCTACTAGGATTTGTTGATAAAAATAAACAAAAACAAACAGTATTATTCCTAGAACTCTGGCACATTCTCTCCATGTTTACATCAGCAGTTTGATAACTGCACTGCCATCCAATTTTAATTTGAAATATTTTAGAGAAAAAATACTTGTATCACTTCTAATAATTAACATGTCTTTTAATGGTGTTAAACTTTTATTGGTTGCCAAAATTATTAGCCCTCCTGTGATTTTTTTTTTCTTTTTCAAATATTTCCTAAATTATGTTTAACAGAAGGAAATTTTCACAGTAATTCCTATAATAATTTTTCTTCTGGAGAAAGTCTTATTTGTTTTATTTTGGCTAGAATAAAAGAAGTTTGAATTTTTAAAAAACATTTTAAGGTCAATATGATTAGCCCACCTAAGCAATATATATATATATATATATATATATATATATATATATATTTTTTTTTATGTCTACAGAACAAACCATAGCAAACCAGTGCCTTTTAGGCTGAATACTAGTAAATATTATGTCAAATATTATATACTGTCATCAGGGTTAAGATAAAATAAATCCGTTATTAGGAATTAGTTAATATCTATGTTTAGAAATGAGCTGGAAAAAATCTCTGTTAAACAGAAATTGGGGGGAAAATACACAGGGGAGCTAATAATTCTGACTTCAACTGTATATTTTGGTGCTGTGTGTAACATCCAAGCCCACACAGCACACACACACACAAAATTCCAACGAAATGTAAATCTAGAGCATCTGTGATGTGATGCCTTTAATCACTAATGCATGGCTTTAATCAGTTAATGAACCAAAATAACGATTATACCTGCTAGCACACCCACACCCACCCCAACATCCTACTGTATAACATACCCTGAGGCTTACTACATTACAAATTGATGGGTTCATGTACTTATGCCCTAGATCAGATGGCCTACATACAGTAACCCTACAACAAAATCACATGCAGAATACTTGCACGCGACTCAAAAACTCAATAGCGGGATGGTGAAATCATTGCAAAGACGATCTATATAATCACACACACAAAAAAAAAAACATCAATAGTAACCAACTCTAAAACGGCAGGAAATATATTTAAAGTAAAATGTAATGAATTTTAAAAAATGAAATAAGAAACCAAAAAATGCAGATTAATAGAACAAATAAAAATAATAAAAAATAAAACTAAATCGACTACATAACATATAAACTGCACAACATAATAAAATCAGCAATCAAATTACACAGATTAACTGTTTAGAAAGAATTTATAACACAAATAAAACAGTGGAATTGATTTAAAATGACCAACAAGTCCAACACTACAACAGACCAACTCCTGAAACTCAGTTTAAAACTAAAAAAATATTCCGTTCAGAGTATATTTAGGAACTTGCTCATTCAAAATAACGATTTCTACAAAAATGTGTTCATCAAATTCAGCTGATTCCTAATATTTCACCAAAAACATGCATGCATGAATGTAACTTATGTGCACACTGTTTTGTGTCTGTGTGTGTGTGTAATACTCACAGTCCTGCTCTCCTGTCCCCTGACTCCATAGCCATGAGACAGAACTAGCTGTCTCATAGCCTGCAATACTGAATGCCCAACCATCCTGTGTGCATTTAAACTAACCTCTAAAACAGAATCATCCTCTTTTTGTAAAAGTAACTATCTCAACTACATCAACCTGAAATTCAAATATCTCTCTCCACAATACACTCTAAGAGAGAAAGCATCACTCTCGACTGAAATCTGCCCATCACCACAGTAACAGACAGCTCTCTGGCAGAGCGGGATGCTTCTGTAGACACACTTTTCATCTGACCCTGCCCCTGCATCCCATTCACGCACACATACACACACGCACACCAACGCCAGATCATGGGATTATCAAGAGGCTGGTATTGTTTAAGCGAAGGAGGGTGGGGGGATGGTTGACACCCACTGCCCTACTAAACCAGTCACCAGGGTTAGCCTAGTGGTGACTGACAGCTCAATGAACAATCAGGTTGTCACATATATCTAAAAGGAGCCCGCCCCTCTGCTGTCAATCATAATCAGGCCCATCCCAAGTGAGAGGATAATAAAAAACTAATGCAGCAGGAGAAAAGTGCCACAAGGGGAAAACAGAGAGTGATGGAAAAGAAGATAGGGAAGCTTTTACCAGATTACATTATTAAGAATGTTACTAAGACTTTGGCTTAGTTCCATAACTTAGTGATCTATTTTTTTCTCTTTTCATTGTTATGTGGATGATATTCTAATCTTTAACGCATCAAAACTAATAACAGAGACTCTGTCTAGAATTTGCTCAATTGTTTGAAAGATCTTAAGGAATAATTGGAGCAGAAATTTTAATGTTTTAATGAAAATAAAACACAAATTGCTATTTTTGGTCATTTGGGTATTTTGGTGGATGTGTTGATGCTTTGGGTAACTTGGTTTTATATGGTTGTCTATTTATCGAGCATATTGATGTGATTTTATCTAAAACAATTTTACATTTGATAAACAGATTAGTGCTGTAGTGAAAGCAAGTTTTTACGTAAGGAGTTCAATTCATTCTTTTATTAAGTCAAGATTAGACAACTGTAATTATTTATATGTTTGAATAGATCAATCATCACTTCAGCACTTAAATTTAGTCTAAAATGCAGCTCAACTACTAAATGGGGACTGGATAACACAAAATCTCTTTTTATTGCTACTGTATGTGGATAATGTTGAAAAAAATCTTCCACATATCAATACTAATGACAGACTCAGTCCAGATTTTGCTCAATTGTTTGAGAGATCTCAAAGGAATAATTGAAGCAGAAATGTTAATGTTTTAACAAGAATAAAACAAATATTGTTGTTTTTGTTCATTCTGGAGATTTTAGTGGATGTGTTGATGCTCTTGGTAACTTGGTTTTATAAAGGTCGTCCATTTATCGAGAACCTTGGTGTGATTTTCTCCATAATAATTTGACATTTCATAAACAGATTAGTGCTGTAGTGAAAGCAAGTTTATTTTTTGGTAAGTTGAGGCTTTGTAAGTTCAATTCATTCTTTTAGTATGTCAAGATTAGACTGCTGTCACTATTTACATGTTGGATTAGAACGATCATCATTTCAGAGCTTAAAATTAGTCCCAAAATGCACCTCAGCTACTAAATGGGGACTGTGTAAGCATATTAGCTCAGTCCAACACTGCAAAAAATGCTTTGCTTAGAGTTTTGGTCTTATAAATCTTAAATCAAGAAGCATTTTCTAGACAGGCAAAAAATATCTTGTCCTCAGAAATAATGAGTCAAAATTGAGTTTTTTCTTAAAACAAGCCAAATAATGTGCCAATGGGGCAAGCAAAATAAACTTGCTTTCACTTTGAGATGAGATGATTTTGCTTACCCCATTTGGCAGATTAGTTTCTTTTTTTTTAAAAGGAAAAACTCGCTTAAGCAAATTTTTTTTTTGCTGTTTAGCCTTGATCCACTGGTCCAATGATAATGTCTTATATTTTAAGATTTCGTTAAATGCTTTTAAGTTTTTACACGGGTTAGATGCAATTTTGTCTTAAATGACAGTTATTTTTAATTGTGCTAAACAAATAAAAATGTAACTGAATTGATCTGCCTTGCTGTGTTCTTAGGGTGCTTTCACACCAGTGAATCGATTCAGTTGTTCCGAAACAGAGATTACAAATGTTACATTGTTGCTCTTTGCTCTTGGAGCGGTTTGCTTTCACACTGCAAAGTTTCTAATCGGACCAAAAGAGCTAAAACAAGTCACGTGCGAGTAAACTCTCCTTACATTGGTCAGAGTGTCAGGGTTTATTTTGCAGCGTCCCGCTAAGCTGTCAGGAGAGGTGGTGGTTTGGTGGTGATTGACAGGGTGCGCGCGCGCGACGTGTCTGAGGAGAGACGCGGTGGGGAGGGGTGAGAAGGGTGCGCGACGATGCCTATTTGAGGACCGGGAGGGAGATGCAAGATTACCGGGAGATCATCACTCGTTTGCGGGCATCCGGAGACTCGCGAAACTTCCGGCCCTACTCATAATTCTCTCTTCATATAGCCGTAAGCCTATTACATATCCATAAAACACTGTGATATAACCGCGCTCGGATCGGATCGCTTTCTCACTGCAATCGAACCGCTCAAGGGTTCGTTTTAATCGAGCCGAGACCACCTCATTCAAGCGATCTCGGAGCGATTACCTTGGTGCGGAACAGAGCGCGATTGCCCTGTTCACATATGCCAATCGAACCGCGCTAACTGGGCAAACGAGATACGTTCCGAAACAAAAGTGTAGGTGTGAAAGCACCCTAAGATACCGTTTACACTAGTATGCATTTTTAATTTAAAACTGAATTTTAGAACCAGCCAGATCAGTGTTTTTAATGCATTTCAAAAAAACAATCTCAGTCTATGCTATACACCCTAAAGCACATGCTATTTGACCATTCATGCTCATTAGGCATGCACATATTTTGCCGAAATCTATATTTGCAGTCTACCACTAATGTAATGTTCATATAAAAGAGGTCTTAGAAATCAGAGTACGGTGCACAACAGTTCAGAAGACCAGTCAGAGAGCATTGTGAATAGCTGTGCTCTTGTTTTCAAAAATGTTAAAGTCCATCTATAATCAGTTTTTGCAGGTCAAACACAACAATAAATGGTGTTTTTTATGTGAGGTCCTGAAGACTATTTATAGATTACAACTGAGATCTGCTTGAATTCAGCTAAGCTAAGAGCAATGCATACACTTACACGGTGTAAAAAAACGTTGAAAGTGTGTTACTTTTCCTTAAAACATTTAAAGTCTGGGAATGCTTCATTTTCTATGGTGCTTTCTCTTTATTGGACAGTTGAGCAAGCCTTTTGAAGTAAGCTTCATTGACTATCAACACAAACGGACACTTTTTGTGAGTGCCCAAAACCTAGCAATCCTTTGTTTTGAATGCTCAAACCACACACTCACAGTTGTCTGTGCTACGTTATAAACAGCCAGCATGCATACAGTGTACATAGATATCAGAGGAAAGCAAGAATTTCTGTCAAAACATCTTTGAATGTGAAAAGCTGCAGTGTGTAGTTTGTCATACTACCATAAAGATAATTATGTTGTTCTAGGGTGTGAGAATTTATGCCAGAGTCTAAGATGAAATAATGTTGAAAGAGTAAAACTGGACCACAGTTTAGTAATTTAAGGGTTATTAATTAATAGAATGAGTAGGGTAGTTACCTGGGATTTGGGGCATTCCTGCAGCAAGACAAAATGAGAAACACATTAATACACAATCCACATCTTAATACAAAAAAATATTAATACAGTGACAGTAAATGTTAAAGAAGAACAACAATTGTCTAATAAGCTCTGTTTTGAGTTCTCTAACTGTGGTTCTTAAAGCTTCTTTCTTGAATGCTCTCTCTATTTTCCAACATAACATTCAAAAACCATATATAAACTAGATATTTCAGTTTTAATTAATATTAAATGTATGTCTAATTGCTAGTTTTAAAACTGTTTTATGGATATTAAAAATGTATCAACTTAGTTAAATTAATTAACAACAATTGATTTGTGTGATTACAAATAGGGATGCACCGATACCATTTTTAGGAACTTATCCAATCCCGATACCAAGATTCTGAGTATCTATCGATACAGATCCGACCCAATACTGTGCAGTTATTTTTAATTATTTATTTTATTTTTTTAACAAAATACAGTTTCTATAGTTCTGCTAATCATAAACTAAAGTAAAATATCTTCTTTAGTACAAAATAACAGACATTCAGGTCTGCTGATGTTTGCTGTAAACTAGGCTAGATTATTTGAGTATTCGTTACGACAGCATCTGTAGTAGTCCAGTTTATGTTGGTTACTTTTTAATATAATTAATTTTCTTTAAAATCTATAATAGGTCATCACTATTGAAATCACTAAAGCCTGATATTTTCCTGCAAGTTTGACGCAGACTAAAGAGGCCAGTTGTACTTTTAAAACACAGCCTTGCCTGAACTCGTCTTGAGTAAGACACAGAAAATGAAAGCACGTCAGCACTGAGGAAAAATCAGATGCACTATAACACAAGCACTTGAATATTCATCTGTACCTCAAATGGCTTCAGAACATTTGGGATATAGTTGGCCTACATGACGACTTTCTAGTGCCTTATAAAAGGCTACCTTCTCTTTATGGTTTATAAATTCCACAGAGGCGATGCAGTGGCGCAGTAGGTAGTGCTGTTGCCTCACAGCAAGAACCTCGGTTCAGTTGGTGTTTCTGTGTGGAGTTTGCATGTTCTCCCTGCATTTGCGTGGTCTTCCTCCGGGTGCTCCGGTTTTCCCCACAGTCCAAAGACATGAGGTACAGGTGAATTGGGTAGGCTAAATTGTCCGTAGAGTGTGTGTGTGTTTCCCAAAGATGGGTTGCAGCTGGAAGGGCATCCGCTGGGTAAAAACGTGCTAAATAAGTTGGCGGTTCATTCCGCTGTGGCGACCCCAGATTAATAAAGGGACTAAGCTGACAAGAAAATAAATGAATGAAATTCCACAGAATATAGAGCATGCACAGGAGAGGATTTGGATTGGTCCTAGCAGGCCGATACCCGATCCAGCAAAAATATGTGGTATCCAGTCGATATCCGATCCAAGTATAGGATTGGTGCATCCCTAATTACAAAATTATCTAAATGCCAAAGCTGTATGATCTTCAATGAAAACTACATTTATTAAAATAAATGTGATTTTAGTTTAATAAAATTGAACTATTTTTTAATATAAGTACGAAATAAATAAAGTACATTTCAATTAATATCAGAAAAACAATGAAATTATATTAAAACACAAATCATTTCATTTGAATTAGAATATAGGGCCTCCCCTGATTGAAAAACACTGGGTTAAAATGTAAACACAATCATAAAAGTGAAATCAAGTGGAATAAAAAGTAATTTAGTTATTAATATTATTAATGATTACCTTAATAATGATATTAAGAATATTAAATTATTATTAAGGTGAAGTCACATTAGTAATTTCAACAGAAATCCATGTGATTTTCACAAGAGGGTTAAAAAAAATCCCCATCAAGATTTTGCAATGGATTCAAGCTGGTCACATGAAACCACCATATTGACCAACAGAAACTTTATTATGAATGTGACGTGTGTTTGTGTGTGTACGGAACATTCCCAGAAAAGGTACTAATGTGTATCATTTTAGAGTTTGTGTGCGTATGAGAGATAGAGAACGTACAGAGTGGTATCCAGGTGGCAGAGGCGGCTTGCTGACTGGATAATTATCAACGGTATCAATAATGGTCTGGCGCTCTCCACGCTGGTTTATCTTTCGAAACCTTCTCCTGGATTGTCGATGAGATGCTTGTCTTTGGAAATACTCGTCATTGTCATCCATGTAGTCCACCTAAGAGAGACAAGAGAGGAAAAGTGTATCCTGATCTAATGGACGCATGGGTTACTGCACATACATCAGCCTTTGTAACTCACCACAATCATTTCTGAAGCCTCAAGGACGATACACTCACAACCACGACGCAAACTACCAGCAGAACGCTTACCAAAACTGAAATGAAACAGCATTCATGACACAAACAAAGAACAGGACAAGACATAGAAAGAAAGAATGAGGCAAATCAAACACAAAACACTGGTACCTGCTGCGGGGCAGAAACATAGACTCCTTTATGAAGACCGAGCCAGACAGAAGGATATACCAGCAGGTCCCGATGTCATCAGGACTAGAACAAACACACACACACACACAGATATAAATATTACACTACACACCCTGAAAAGCACACCATTTCTATTTTAGTCCACTCTTACTATATTCTGGGTGGAGCAGTGACCTAACAATTAACGTCATAATGAGCAAAGGAAACACATGTGATGAATCATAAATGTGGGTGAATGAGTCTTGGTCAATTCACTATTTCCCAGAGCAAGAGGGCATCCGTGGTTTGCTGATCTCGCAAAGTCAGACATGAAAAGTCTGTCTGTCTGTCTGACAAGCATTCAAAATGACTGCTTTTATGTACAAAGCAATATGGAGTGTTTTACCACAAAAACTGAGCCGTTTATGTATTAAGTAGTAAGTTTATGATTTCATGAGTAAAAGTCTCCATCATGCTGCAAAAAAATGTTCTTACTTTTGTCTTGTTTCTAATGTCTAAAATATTTTGATTTAAAATATCGAAATATTTTAAAATATCAAAATATAAAAAGCATTTTCTAGACAAGCAAAATATCATCTAGTTTTCAGAAATAATGTGAAAATTAGGAGAGTTGTTAAGCTAAATAATCTTCCAGTGGGGGTAAGTAAACTAATTTTATTTTAAAGTGAAAACTAGATTATTTGACTTATGTCAGTGGCAGATTATTGAGCTTGTTTAAAGGAAAAACTCCCTTAATTTTACATTATTACTTCTGTAAACAAGACTGTTACTGCCCTATGTATGTGCCTGTGTTGTTTTGCTTGTGCGTGCTCTCTCTTTCTCTCTCGATCTCTCTGTATATTCTCGTAGGATCACCCATTCCAGTTTGTCATTCAATCATCATTACTGTACGTTCACACCGAAAGCGGTGAGAGCATCAAAGTAGCTGGAAGTCATTCATTTTCAATGGGAGCCAGTGGCGATAAGCAGCGAGGAGCAGCGTGGCGCAACTTTATGGTAACTTTATGTTATTGAGCTATGATGCGGTTCGGCGGCAAGCAATAAGAATGTAGAAGTCCACCGCTTGGGAGGAGTCCAGAGAACACAGTCATTGTGAACTGTGGTTCCGACCCCAGATGTTCCCAAGGGTTTGATTATTGCAGTCACCGGATTTCCAATTATTTGCAATGTTTTCTTACAGGAACACACATAAAAAACATTACTGGAGAGTTATTAATGTGCATTATATATATATATATATATATATATATATATATATATATATATATATATATATATATATATATATATATATATATATATATATATATATATATATATATTTTTTTTTTTTTTTTTTTTTTTTCCTTCATTAAAGTGGAAATCCCATGGCACAATACAAAACATTATAGCTGCTTCAGGATATTTCAGACATATGGACACATTGGATAAATAAATGAAGCAGAGCCACACCACATGTAACTTGATATTCCATTATTAAATGAATTTAATAAAAAAATACACAACATTTTCACGCTAGAAAGCATGTTTTATGTGGGAATGTAATTGATATGATATGTGAAGAAGATTTTATTCTCTCTGTATGAAGTATTTTCTAAGTGTAAAGCAGTTAATTTTCTCTACACAAAATGTATGTAGTGTTTGCAGCAAAATTGCCAGCATGTGTTAAAAATACAGTAATATGTCTGTGTAAGATGAGTATGCCTGCACAGGAGCAACACTAGGAGAAGGCTGAATGACTGATTGTGTAGAATAACTGAATATGTAAAGCACTGATTATATATGTTAAATACTTCTATGAAGCTATATGTGTCAGAAGTTAGAATGAGTAACATATTATCAAGTGATTATGCTTTCATGACAATGTATGTAAACACTTAATCCTTTTGCATAAGTTGCATCTATGGAGAGAGAACTGTGGTGTCAAAACATTTGCTGACACAGACCTGTAACATCTCTGTTGACATGAGCTAGTGGGCTGAGAGCCAAGAATAGCAGGACCCCTTAGACTAGAAAACCTATTCAAAAATGGTCAAAAGTTAAAAAGAGACACATAGGGGTGAATCAAAAACATAAATAAAGGAGAAGGAGCAGGAGAGACTTTAGAAGGTGTCCAGGAGAGACTTCAGAATGCTCTGGGGTCTGCTCTGCTCTTTCTCGGCTTTATTATGAAGAATAAAGTCTATTTTCTGATATTCAAAACCTCCAGTCTGATAATTTCTAATTGATAAGAAGTCGAATTACGACATATGCTGCAACGGCCCCTTTAAATTCGAGATCAATGTAGCGAATTTTGAAGCTCTCGCTGCCAGAACTGAAGGCAGACAGCGTTGTCGCCAGGGCAGCCACAGCGACCCTTGACACTCACCGCCTTCGCTGTGAACGCAGTTACTCTCTGTGGCATCATTACCTACCCTACCAATCAGAAAGGAAGCTCTAAGTTTAAAGGGCCACAACCATGGAAGCTCGTTCTCTTGCTTTTACGTTGCTTGACTTTCTGCTCTGTTTGTGTGTTTTTGGTTTGTGTCATGTTGATTTGTCTTTAAAGTTTAATTTTGATCTTATTTCAGTTGTGGTATGCTGATTTTGTTTTGTATGTACTTCTGAATTCCCCTGAGAATCAAGAAGTTTAGACGTCTTGAGACATGCATCTCGCAACTGGCAGAAAACTTTTGTCTAAACAAACAAGAAGAAGTGAGCACCACTCGCTGTAAGTTTCAAATGTATTTTAGATAAACACAATGAAGATGTTTTGTTTGTTTATTTTCTATTAAGCAGTTTAGAGGGTAATTTTCAACCAGTTAGGGGTTTTTGTTATATTGTTTTCTTTTATTTACCGCCGCTTGAAATCCTCTTTTCCTTAACAGCATACATTAATATATAAATATATTTTTTTTTGCGAGATACTTTAACTTGTACATTTTATCTTTGTATTATTTGGTTGTTGTTTTGATATTTTGCCACTAACTCTCAACAAACTGAATCACATTAAAATGCTACCTCTTTATCAACAATATTGTACTTTTACATATATTTTAAAACATTAATTATTAGTGATGAAATGTCTGAAGACGAGAGAATGACTGCCTAAAATTCAGTGTATCAGGCTCTCATAGTTATTATTCTAATATGGGGCTCAAGAAACATTAAGAAAGTTGAAATGAATCTTTTGTAAATTCAATAAGTGACATTATTTTTCAGTTACATTATAGTGGTCTAGTCAGTTACATTTATTAAATTTGGATGCAATCTAGTGACAAGTTCTACTCCAGAAGCACCTAATTTAACAGTCTATTCCCAAAACATGACTTTGTTTCCTATCCTGAAGCAAGCCGGAGAAAACTTTGTTATGCTCATGTGCAGTATAATTTGGTGAACAGACTGTTGGTGGTCCTTGTGCAATGGCATCCGAGGTTGAGACTGGTGGCTTTCAAACTATGCTGAGGGAAACCGTATGAGCCTACGCATTTTTGCACAACACAAATCCCAAGTGAAAAGAAGCACATGGCTGATGTTGTGTGTTTTGGAAAGCCCAAGCTTTGACGGCCTGGTTAATGTAGGCATTGCACCACAGTGGAGATTTACGACGGATAATGGGAGGTTACAGTTAGAAAAACGTGAGGGGGACAAAAAAGTGGAGGGAAAGTCAATGGGGATGGAGAATGTTCCAGGTTTTGTTGGGTTAGCATGACTGCATTTTTTCCTTTGGAAATTTTTGACCTGGCAAATGCAATGCTAGGTTCACTCAAGTATAATTAGAAAAACCTAACAGTCCAGATACATTTTAGACAAAGTCAAGGAAACAACCAATGCCATTTGAACCAAATAAAACAAAACTAACTTTCTTTGGAGATCAACATTTTGATTGTATAAAGTCATGTCTTTTGATCTGTAAATTGAGGTCAGGCATTTCACTTTTATTTTTATGTTTAATACTGCAAAATGACTTGCTTTAAAAAAAAAGTAATCGATTGTAAAGAATGTTGTATAATATGGAATGACATGGCAATGAAGTGTCAAACTACAGACAAATCCACATTGATATCATTAGATGCTGTTTTACCACTGTAGTTTAAAGCGTTTTATTATTTTTTTGAGAAGCAGTATCTACACTGCATTGAGAAAACAACACAAACGCAACATTTAGTTGTTAATTCATATTAATTTGTACTTTCTCAATCAAACACATTTAAGTTCGATTTGCTCATCACATAATAAGGCTGAGGTTTATGGGTGGGCTTTGGGGTTGTGCCTCTCATTAAAAAAAAAAATAAATAAAATTATGTTTCCATACGAATGAAATCATAGTAATTCATATAAACTAGCTTAACTAATTTCTTCATGGGATAAGGCTGGTGAAAAACAGCATTTTGAAAACACTGAATAGTTTGGAAATGCTAGTGTTCTGTTTCAGAATAGACAGGTTAAAGCAAAGACTCTTGAAAACAAAGGCGAGGCTGTCTACAATCGCTCTTTTAACGCCAACGCCAACCAAAATAAAGAGATGCATTACCACAACCTTCAGCTTAGGAGTGTGGATGAGCAGAGTTCATTTTAGCAATATTGACCCTCAAATGAAATCAAAGACTTTATTTCTTTGACTAGTCTAGTGTGGACTTTGCGTATCATTTTTTATTTCGTCAAGCCACTCTCATATGACTATTACACAACTGGTAGGCAGCAAGTTCGAATGCCAGCAAAACATGTGCATGACTAGTGTGCGTGAATGGTCATGTCTCCTGTGTTTTAGGGTGTATGGCGTGAACAAATAATGTTTTTTTAGAAACATTAAAAATGGCAGTCTGGTTGAAAAGCGCATGTAAACTGTTCCTTCTGCCATGGAAAAGTTTATTTTAATTTATTTGACATTAAAAATACTTCTCTGCTGCACTCAACAATTCAGCAATCTGTTGTTAGAATGATAAAAATGTGTAAAAGCTACATATTTTGACTGGTCTGCCTTAGCCTTCTAACTAGGGTTGGGGCCGATAGACGATGCCATTGACCATCGCCGATGGCCAATAGACAGCACGATGCTGAGCCAGCATCGCAATCCATCGCCCCACCCCCATCGCAAACCCGCTCGCGAAAAATACACACTCAGGCCCTGTTCACACTAATACGTCTTGGTGTTAAAATGGCATTTTAAAACTAAAATGATCCACATCCACACCGTTTTACCTAGCATTTCTGAACAGCCCTCCATCCACTGGAAACGTACATCACGTGCCCACACACACACAAACACAGACACAGCGACACGCTGTCATGCGCTCCTCTGAGCTCCAGGCAGAGAGCAGTGCACGTCGGATAGTTTATGAAGGATGTACCGCTGGATCGCGTCTCGCAATAGTTTTTAAACGTGATATCCCAAATCTCCCGGAGGTTCCTGGAGTTTCTAAGCATTTGTGGGACTCATAATGCCTGCAAACGAGTGATAATCCCCCGGAAATCGCACGTCTCCCTCCCGGCCCTCAAATAAGCCGCGTACCCTTCTCACCCCCAGATCCCTCCTTGCTCTTCAGACAACCCCCCCTCCGCTTTTCACATGATGATGATGCCATAGTCCATCGCGATGTTTCACATTAGACATCATACGATGCCAAATTGGTCAACATCGCCCAACCCTACTTCTAACAGTATTTGTCAATCTTAAAGTGACTGAGATGCACAATCACGATAAAGCAGTTAGAGTTTACAAGACATAGAAGTGGAAAACAAAGTGTGTGTTAAGATTGAAGAAGTGAATCATTTTAAATATGCTAACAACTATATGTTACATATAATAACCAACGGTCAGTAATATTCAGTACTGCTAATTACTATATTTTTTCCTCAAATTCTGCCTTTGAACAGAAAAAAACAGCATATTGATGTCATTCCTGATTGAACATGACAAGAAATGCAGCTCTGCTTTTTGATATGCATACAAATAAGGCAATTGAAAAATGTGTCCCCCCCAAAAAAATAATCCTGGACAATTCTGTTCCAATACACTCTATAAAACAAACCGATCCCCTCAACATCATTTTAAGTGCCTTAATATAATTGAGATTTTTAGGATTTGAAAATATTTTCTCTATTGATTGATAGTATGCTGCTAATACGATCAATGAGCTTAATGTGTACTGATCCCAGAACATTGCTTAAATTGTTTTAGCAGTAACCCGAAACAATCAGTGGTCCTGACAGAACGCTTCATTTCAACAGGCAGTGTGTGTGTGTCCATATTCAGAAAGCCGTTAGATGCTTAATCCCCGTCTGTAGATGCACATTACAGTTTTAAATGAACTGAGCACCAGACAGATGTCGGTGTGTGTTTGTGTCTGAGACAGAGAGAGTGAGCAGATGTGTATGTGTGTGTGTATGTGTGTGTGGATGAAATCAGCCTCGTGACTTTGATGTAAACCTCTGATAAACTGACCTAGATAGAGATACATTTCTGACAGCTTTTGTGGGAGTTTATTGAGTGCGCGAGTTCAGATACTCACTAGTATAAAACCTCATTAGCATCATGCTGTTCATATCGAACCGTCTCACACATCAGCCTGCAATTGAATAAACAAAGTTAATCACATTCGCTCTGTAATAAAGGAATGTAAAAGCTCTCACATCCCCACACAAATGTGATCTCTTACCTGAGCTGGTGTTCCCTCAGGTTGGACAGAGCTTCCATGCCATGAAGGTATGAGTACACAATCTGCAGATCCTGCAAAAAATGAACATAATATTTAGCGGTCACAGATTTTGCATGAAACCCTGCTACCAATTAATTTCACTAAGATTTCTTTCTCTTTCTTTCTTTCTCTTTCTTTCTTTCTTTCTTTCTTTCTTTGCACATTTTAATTTTTCATTCAGTGTTCAGTGATGAAAATAAGTAGACATCTTATATTCTAGTAAAAAAAAGTTCTAAAAATAATAATAAATAAATAAAAGATTGATAACTTTGAGCTTCGCTTTTTCACTGCTAATATGTGTTGGGAAAAATGAGGGGAAAACAAACCCAAATAATTATGCAAGACATTTTACGCTCAGATAAGCTCGGAAGAAACAAAGCTTGAAAGAATAAATTACACGGTTGTTTTCAGTGACAGGTTTCAGCCACCATTTAAACTCGTCTTTCTCCAACCAGGAGTACGCAAACTTACATTTTCCCATTTTACTGCCTGTTTAGCTCTATAGTTTCACTATATGTGAAGAGCGTCACATCACCTTCCCGGTTTGTCGCAAATTACGCCCCGGCCCGAACCAATCACGTAGATCGAGCACACTGTTGTTTATATTAGGAGGAAAATAAATATATTTAAGCTTTTTTTTTGGAGTCAAACACTTTGGACAACACTTGAACAAGAATTAAGACCACGTAAAAATGTGAATGTTAAGGGCCTTAATTTTCTCATATTTGATTTTTCAAATTTTATTACTTTTAAAGACCCCGCAGACACCCTGGATAAACCTATAAAATCACTTAAATGGGGTATATTATGCACACACAAACGTTTAATTGCAGTCAGCCAGCCCCATGGGTTCCAGTTAACTGTCATCCCATACAAAATTGCCGTGATCTGATTGCAAAAAAAAAAAAAAATTAAAAATGTGATCATCACTGCCTGGCTGAGATATGATATAAAAGGTATCAGACCAAACATGCAGCACTGCATTTAAATTAATATGCTATAGAAAAATATTAAAAACAAATTTTAAAAAAGAGAAGCAAAACATTTTTTAAAATTAGTAAGGGTTTTTGCAATATTTTGCTTGAATTTAATTGTATTATCTTTCAATTTCTAAATGTGCTTGGTGACTAAAATATCATTTTAATAAATATATCTGTTTAATAAATAGGTTTTGTTTAAATGCACTAAAATACATTGCCTATATTCACTGAGAAATGAATAAAAATAATCATTTTCAAAAAGGGGTGTACACAAATATGCTGAGCACTGCGTGTATGCGTATATAGAGAGGTTAGACGATCCTTATTTTTTTTTTTAAATATAATTTTATTTTTACCTTTATTTTTTAATAAAATTATTTTATTGACAAATATTCTGTCCTATTTTCTTCTCTTTATATTTACTGCACTGTTTTGCTATCGTATAAATGTTAAATCAAATATAAAAAACCCTGCCTGTATATACATCAAAGGTCCAGTAGGAGGTGCCATATGAATTTGAATATAAGCAGCAGTGACAAATACATACCATTGACCAGAGAACACAGAGCGCACAACCTTCTTTAAACACCACTTAACTCCACCCATCCTGAGTTATACAATCAGCGTTTAACAAGAATGGAATGTTTGCAGATACTCCATTATTCATTCCTTCACTTTCAGATCCATTTCCTCGCTTCTGTTTTTCTCTCTACTTCTGTCACTGTGCTGTTCCTCTTATGACAAGATCCTAGCATTCACGTGTCTGATGCCATGGCATGATATTTGTCACCGTCTCAGTCATGCAATGTTAAATGTACATCTCTGCTCTAACATTCTCTGCTCTAATAGCTCTCTGTTTCTGCTCTAACAGACACAGTTCCTCACATGTGTCTTTAGGAATGTTTTTGTAAGTACATTTCTGATCAGGAAACTGTTTAAGGAAATCTTTTCCTGTTTTGTTGATGCCCATGAATGCAACAATGAGATCATATGAACCTATTATGTAGAGTATCTGAAAGAGGAAAGAGCCAAGTAAATAGCCATACTAATGCTACTAAGAAGGCCTTTATTCAAACTTTTAAAAGCTAAAAAACCTTGAGGTGTAAAAACCTCAAACCAAATAAAAGCTTATTGATATTCAGTGTGGAAGAATAAAAGCTAAAATCATTGATCAGTGCAGTAATCAAACTTGTATTTTATGCAAAAGATGTGATTTGGGTCTAGATTTTTGCCTTGATTTACCAACACCTCTGGTTTCTTAAAACATTCACGTGTTCCAGTTGACAAGTTTAGAGTCACACATTAAGCATTTCCTGTGAATTTGGCGATGATGCAATTCTAAAACTTCACTGGTGTGATGAGGTCATATGAGCTGCGCATTGAGGTTATTGGACTTGGCATACTGACAAAAAAAAAATACTAAAGAATGAACTGGACTGAAACATTAACACATTTCACCGATTCTGTTTAAACTGAACATAGTTTCCTTGTTTTAAGTGTGTGAAAATTCAAAAACTACTTGTTTCTAAGTTTAAATCTGGTTTTAATGAATGTTTATGAATTTAATCCTAACTGAATGGCACTAAATGAACGTGTAAATGGGGACTGCACTAACTCAAATCAACTCATTTTGATTAATTTTCATAGTGTAGATGCTCTTATGTTTGAATGGACTTGAACAGCCACAAAAACACCTAGAATCTGCCTACTGACTGAATATGTGATCATTATGGGGGGTTTTGAGAATAGGGGTGGGTAACTAATCTGGTTCAGTTTGGTTCGGTTACAATAATTGATGCTGTTTATGGCGATGCTGCGGATGGACATATGAATTTACACCACTGTGTTTAGACGTCTTATAACCCTCAAAGATGGACACTGGTGTGATTTAAGTTAAAAACACAGCTACTTTGTATACACATTAAGCAATATATAATAGACAAAACAATAATAAAAACGTAGGGTCTTTCTGAAAACGCAGTGTAGAATTGTGCCTTGTTTGTAAAGACATCAGTGGTGAAAAGAAGTGAACAAAGGGTGAAACTTACACAGTCTGAAATTTCCTTCAAATTAAATTTCATCCACTCTTTCCTAACGTTGGGATCAGAAGAAAGGGGATACATAGACTATGCATGAGAGGATAACCGGTTTCAAGGTTTTATCACGGTTTGGAAAAGTCAAGGTTTTAAAACCGCTAAAATTGTGTTACACCGTTCCTTTTTCGTGTGTTTTTTTAACAACTATTTTATTTAGTTTTTTTTAGGGCAACAGTATCTCCAGCAGAAAATGACCCTCCACATTAAAAGCAACTGGTCAGTCCACAACTCAGCAAACATCAAATATCATACAACAAATCACTTTTAAACCAACATACAAGCACACTATAGACCTGAACAATGCAGTGGCTTACTTTATATCTAAAGAAAAGATAGATATCCAAAGATGCCTTTTCAAGTTGTAAAGAAATCTGTGCTTCTGAAGCTAATGAAGACAGCAGAATCACCTATTTTTTTAAGGATTTAGCCTGACATGTTTACCATTCCAAAATATTTTAAAATGTTTCTTAAAATAAAATCTAGTGTTCAAAAGCGGCTGTTTTTTTACCCAGACATTCAAAAAGAGCATATATTAATGCAAGTTCTTAGACTACTGAGAATGTTTTGAGGTCTAAAATTAACTCTTATAGTACAATGACCTCAGTTTGTAGTTCAAAAACCATAATACTAGATGGAAATGGGAAAATGTTTTAAACACTTACGACTAAAACCTTGACATTTAAATGTACGCATGAAAATGAATAAAAGTTTCAGAAACTTTGAAAGGCCACACCAACCACCCTAACTCAGAATCAGCTTAACTCAAAAAGTACATTAGCAGCATCACCACTTCCTTCTATCCACCCTGACATTCCATCAACCTTTCTCATCATCTTAAACTCCCCTCCAATACATCCATCCATCCCACTCGTCTGCTCTGACTACAGTCAAATTAAAGTAAATTCAAACTGCCCAATGGGTTTGAGTCATGGGTGGCGTGCTGTGTTTTGCGATTGGTTGATTTGAGCAGAAGGGCAGGAATGTTTATTCTGGGACTGTGGCATTTCCTCTGTGAGAGACAGACGCACAGAGTTCTGATTATGGTAACAGAGTCCAGTGAGTCAAGAGACCAAGGTCACGTTTCAGTTGGTCTTAGAAGACCTGGCTGCTAGATCACAGAATAAAATCTGAAAAACACTCACACACGTGCCAGCTTTAAAAAGTAGAACCAGAACTTTTTGCTTTCACTTCTAAAATTATGACATTTTGAAACAATGAGAAACTTTAGGTTCCAGTTCCTCTTCAGTAAAATACCTACCAATTAAATGACATAAAAAAACTGTACTCACAATTTATTTTCCATTCTCTCACAGCCTGGCATCAGTGGTTTTAAACCATAAACTAACAGTACAGGTCTCTGACTAAACGTCTTTAAAAACAGGGCTGAAATTACATTCAGACGCACAAAAATTGCTTGCCCTGGCTGCTATAGAATATCGTGTCTAAAATGCTCAATTTTTTGTTTGATTTTATTGGTAGTATAAAATCAATTGCACATATACAATCACCTATACAGGATTATAATGTGGTAATGCACTCATGTGATACTGCTTAAAACAATAGTTCACCTATAGTTTTCCAAACATTTATTAGCTACCTTTTTTGTTGAAAACAAAGGAATATATTTTTTATAATATTGATGACTTCCACAGCAGGTAAAAAAAAAGATAATGAAAGCTGGAGGTCACTGTTTTTTTCAAATTTACAAATGCATGTTTTGTCTCAACAAAAGAAAAAACTACAATGAACAACTGAAGCAAATGGAGGGTGTGTAAATAGTGGCAGAATTTTCATTGTTGGGTGAAAGGTACCCTCAACTATACTAGTTTCTAAGGGGGCAACAATACAAACTTTTCACAGTTCATTTTGGTTTTCGATTTCAGGTCAAGGTTTTGGTACGCATCAGTATATGATATGATCAGTAAAAAATAAAAATAAAAAAACCTATACATGCAA